TGGTTTCCTACACGGGTTTTACATGCTTTTCTGCTACCTGCTGTTGGCCAGCATGTAATCTCTGCAGTAATTCCTTCCTACTGGTTTTTACTGGCTTGGCACTAAAACTGGGTGAGCACCAAAGCGAGACAGAGCCAGCGGCGAGCCCGAGCTGTGGCTCTGGGTCTCATGGTGCCAAGGGTCAGTGCTGATGGCTGGCTCTGGGTTTTCTGCAGGGCGCCTGAGCTCCACATCCAGCAACAGCTCCTGCAGCGGCTCAGACTATGGGGAGGTCATCCCGCACCACCCGGGTACGTGCATGGTCATGGCTGGTTGCATGGGCATCCCCTAAAAGTCCCAGCAAGAACATCCCACGCTTGGAAATCTCTTTGGGGAAGCATGGAGCTGTGCAAATCTCCTGGGAGGCAAAACCCAGCCTCTCCGGGGTGAGAGCGGGGCGGTGGTGGGGCTGCCTGGGGTGCACTGACCTGTGCTGTTCCCCCAGGGCTTCCTAAATCTGACCCCGGCCAGTGGTGGGCCAGCTTCTTCTTTGGGAAGACGAATCCTCCGGCCATGACAACCGTGTCGGAGTCCCCGGAGAGGTGAGCACGTTCCTCCAGCGTGGCACTGGGATGAGATGACCGGGGACAGAGCCACCTGGGGCAGCTGGGGACATCCCCAAAGTGCATCCTGACCCGATGGACGACATCCCTTGGGTCTTTGTACCCAGCACAACCACTCCTGGGCTATGGAAATAAACACAGGGTGACAACAACACCCTGGCATCGGCCTGGCACCTTTTTTAATTTTTTTTTTTTGCTTTGTCCTGCAGCTTGGGAGCGCTGCAGGTGCCATCGGGGCAGCTGGCGTGCGCGCTGGTGCCAGGAGCAGGAGCAGGACGGAGGCGGCACACCAGCGAGCCCGGCCTCGGGCCCTCATCCTGAGCATGCCAGCGGGCACAGCCCCTCGAGGAGGCAGGCTGCTCGGAGATGGAAGCACTGCAGGGGGATAAAAATCAAGCAGCAGCCCCCCAGCACTTTCTACACCAGCTTTTTTTACTATTTCTTAACGCAACCACACCTTTCTGCGCAGACTCAGCGACACGATTCTGTACTTTGTACTCGTTCAATGGTAACTAATAAACTCGAGCAGCCTTTTAAAAAAAACCCTGCGGGTTGTTTTTCGCCGGGGATGGGAGTCCTGCCAGGCTGGGGATGGAGATGGGGTGGAGGGAAGCAGCGCAGCCTCCAACCGCGGCGTTTCCAGCAGGGTAACACGGGGAGGGATTTTTGCAGGGGTTGAGCAGCTCCGAGCCAGCTGTGGTTGTGCCAGCGTGACTCACTGCGTGTGTACCCTGCGTGTGAGCAGGATCTGGCTCCGTGCAGCCTCCCCCCAGCCTTTTTTCTCTCTGTGCTGGTGCCTGCTGTGTGTGGGGTGGGAGCAAGTGGCCAGGGCTGAGCCTGGTCCCAGCACGAGGTCTGTGCAATGCCACGGTGACTTTGTGCCCCAGCATCCCAGGGGGCAAAGGGCAAAGCTTTGTGCCCCGTTTGCTGCTATCAGAGCAGTTTTTTCAGGCCAGGGAGAGGCAGCTGCCCCGCTCTGTGTCAGTGCTGTGGGGGCACCGGGGGCACCGCCAGCCTGCAGCAAGCCACGGCTGTCAGGACTGGGCAGGGGGCTCTGTTAAAGACATGTGGCTGCCCACTACGAGAAACACAACAGCTTTTAAATATCTCCAAGCACAGGAAAATAGAGGGGGTGGGAGATGAGGGGGGGTTCTTTTTGAGCAAGGCAAGTCAAGGTGCTGTTGGGGTGGCAAGGGAGACAAGCACCACCCTGGGGTGCAACCCAGTGTCTGCTGCTCACCCCTGGGATGGGGAACACTGGGTTGTATCTCCTATTAATTCCCTGGAGAAGCCTAATAGTTTGAAAATAAAGTATTTTTTCTTTTAATGACCTGCAGATTGAAGTGTGGACATGCACCGGTCAAGTCAATATCTCTCTGTTTGCTTTTTTGTGCCCCCACGGCAAAGCAAAGGCACCAATCCTGCTGTCCCCGGGCTGCAGCTGGACCTCTGCCTGGCTTCACCCAGCTCTAGGTGATGCCAGCAGCTGGTTCCAGGCTCTCCCATCCCTATTTCCCATCCCTATTTCGGGTGCTGCAGCAGGTCCTGGCTGCCTGGACCCTCCCTGTTGGGCCACCTCATCTCCATTTGAAGTTTCTCCACGTAAGAGACCAAAAAAAAAAATACACAGAGGGGACCAAATCACTGATTTTGGCCCACCTTTGCTGCGTTTTACTGACAAGTGCTTTAGGGCAGGGCTTCTCGCTTCGCTTGGCAGCAGCCCCAGCACAGCGAGGCCACGAGCCCCGTCCCTGCGTAACCTCACAGGGAAATTTCGCCTGAGCAAGCTGGAGCCCGGCCAGCACGTCCGAACCCTCCCCAAATCACCCAGGGGCCCCTCTCCAGGCTGAGCTCTCTCCCGCTGTGAGGCTGCTCGGGTTGGGAGCTGCAGCCACAGCACCAGCCTCATGCTGTATCTGGGGCCAGGTATCAGGGAAATCAAAGTTTTTGCAGTTTCCTTTTGAAAAACCCATTTCAGCTTGGGTTGAATGAGTCAGCATCACCCACTGCTTTATAATAATTATTATAATGTCCTCAACAAATACGCATTAACTTCTGGTCGGCCCTGAAATAGGCAGTTGCACTAGGTGATTCGTGAAAATCCCTTCCAACTGAACTTTTTTCTATTCTCTTCTCACCACTAATAACAAAGCCAAACCTCTCAGAAGAGCTTGGAGCAGCCCCGTGCCCACATGCAGCTTTCTGGTTTGGCACCTAGAGATGCTGAGAGTGACCCAAGGAGAGGAGGATTGTTTTTGCCAGGACCAGGCAGGGTCAGTGCCAGAGGGCACGGGTACCAGCACCAGCAATATCATGAATTGGGAATGGCAGCTTAGGCCCCCCACACCCCCTCTGATGCTTTCTGCACCTACCCAGGACAGCAGGAGAGTCCCTGGGTGCCTCGAGAGAGAAAAGCCAAGGGGTTTCTCTGCTACACCCCACGAGCACCCCACCAGGGACGGGCGTCCCCTATTCTGCTCTGCCTCGTGCAGCGTTTTGGCTGTTGATTAACCCACATATTTGGGCAAAAATAGCTCGTGCTTTCTGCTCGCCCTTGGTCCTTGCAGCTGCCCTCGTGCCACCCCTCTGTTGTCAGAGCTCTTGCAGCAGCCCAGCATGAGAAATACTCGCTTTCATTTCCTGCTTTTGCTGCTTTGGGATTTTTTTTCTTTTTTTAATTTTTTTTTCCTCTCCAGAAGCTTTGCTTCCCCCTCACCCTCCGCAAAGGCCGACGTGGGACGTTAAAAATAGGAACAAATGACACAGCCGAAATGCACTGCATTAGCCTGGCACTGCTTTCAAATGCCACTCGGCCAACTTGAATCCATCACCGGGGCACGCACCGGGCTGAAACCAGAGCAGGAGGGTGCCTGCGACAGCACCGCTTGCAATTCCCACCTCGGGGAGCTCCAGAAAGGTCTGGGCAGCTCCGGCCAGATTTTGGGAACAGCCTGGTGCCCCACCACATCTCCAGTCCTGGAGGGAGCTGCGGCACCCTGCCCAGGCTGAGAGCACAGAGGGCGCATGCAGGAGATCCCACAGCCCCACGCACACCCACTTATTTAATTTCATTTCATTTATTTCATTTTTAGCACCACCTCGTGGCAGCGAGACCTGCACATTTGCTTCTCCTGGTGCCGTGCACCTCCCAGCCCCTTCCCGGCACGCAGCGAACCCCCACCTGCCAGACACGGCTTCGCTCTTTGGTTTCTCATCACACCGGGACAGCACGGAGGTGTTGGATAAAGCTGCAAAACGTTTTGCAAAATGGAAGTTGCTTCTTGAAACCATTCCACCGTGGCAAATCCGACCGGATTGATCCAGGTGGGATCAGTCCAGCCCAGAGCTGCAGCTTTCCCAGGACACGGATTCATCTCAGGAGCACCGCAGCTCCCGGGGGCTTCAAAGGAAACGTGGCCAGACCCTGGCACGGCACACCTAGACCACGTTCCCACCTCCCCTTCCCAGGCCCCTCATCCACAGGGCTTCCCACCAGCTCCTTTCCTGCTATTTCACACAGCACAGCTGCTTTTTGGATAAGGAGAGCGCTGCCTGCACTTTATTAACTTTATATACCCCAACCCCACCAGCAGCTCAGTCCCAGCGACCACCACCCCTCCTGCAATCAGGCAAAACGGGCTCAGGAGGGGGAAATCTCAACCCACACAGCCCCAGCTGTGCGGGGCTGCCTTTCACCCACCACCTGCCCCCCAACCCTGGGGGATGCTGCGTGCAGCAGGCACCTTGGCAGCGCTCCCGGGGCTGCCTTCAAGGAGTCCTTTCACTGCTGCCAGGGACAGCCCGGCCCCAGGGAGCATGCACAGGGTGGGAAAAAGGAAAAACCCTGCCCCCAGTTCCAGTGGGGAGGAGGGTTCGGATGCTCCTGGGGTGCTGCACCCCGGCAGTGAGCAGGGGTTTGGTGATGGAGGTGATGGGAGCTTTGTACCGTGGGTGTGATGGAAAAATAAGTGTCCCCATGGCCAGCTTTCCTCAGGGGGTGTCCGTGCACCCCCAGAGCACAGCAACAACAGTGACTCGAAATCCCAGTCTAGATCCATCTCTTTTCCATCATCTCCACTTGTAGTCGGGCACTGATTTTTGGACAAATGGCCAGAAGAGTCCCCTCACCCCCCCAAAAAAAATGTCCCCATCCAGCTCCGCTCGCCCCAGGCAGCCAGAGCGTGGTGGGCACCGTGCCCTGGTGTTGCAGGGGAGCCCTAGGAAATTGTGCCGAAGGGTTTAAAGCCTCTGTGCTGCAGCAAAACAGGGTGAAGCGGGTGGGTGGGTGGATGGGTGGATGGATGGATGGATGGATGGATGGATGGATGGATGGATGGAGGGAGGGAGGGAGGGAGGGAGGGAGGGAGGGATGGGTGGAAGGATGGGTGGAAGGATGGGTGGAAGGATGGATGCGCACGCATTTATTGATAAATACACCGGACACACGCTACAAGAAAATCAAGCAGAGCCACGACTGGACACAAACTGCAAACCTTCATGTGGGCCTGGGGAGCGGCAGGGACCTCCCTCCCTACTGGCTGAACGGAGATGTGAACCTGGGGTGATGCCTTCACTGCCACGGGGCTTCTCAAGACACGGCCAAGCTCCGGCAACGAATCCTCCCCACCTCGTTGCCTCGTCCCTTGGCCACCTCCCTGCCTCCTCACCGAGAGGGGCCATGGGCAGTGTGTTTTTTTTTGGGGATGTGCCTTCCTCGGAGCCCTGTTGGAGGGCGAGAGAGGAGGAAGGAGCCACTCGGCAAGAGCTGGCGTGGAGGGGGCTTTGCAGGAAGGGTGGTGGGAAGGGGCTTCAGGACAGGGAGTTGAGCAGGCGCCTGTAGATGAAGCCCAGCTTCTCCCGCAGCGCCAGGAAGGTGGGCCGCTCCTCCGTGTTGCCGCTCCAGCACTCCAGCATGATGCTGTAGATCTCAGGGGGGCAGGAGCTGGGCCGGGGGAGGCGGTAGCCCCTGGTGATTTGCCGGACGGTTTCTTGGTTCGTCATTCCTGCAAGGAAGGAGAAGATTCCCCTCACTCTATCGTCGCCAGAGGACATCCCGATGGTGTGTCCCGGCCTGCAACAGGCCAAGACGTCAAGGAGCACTGCCACGAAATGGCAGCGGCCACAGGTTTAGCATGGGATGGATCATCCAGCCCACAGCACCCTCCAGCCCCCTGGGTTGTGCACCGAAAATCCCTCTAAGCAATCCCCAACGTGACCAATCTCATGTCCCAGGAGGTGTTTCCACCTCCGAAAAGCTTCTCAGAGTGCAGATGGAGCGGTGCTGGAGGGGCCCACCAGCCCTACCCTCGTATGGGATCTGCCCGTAGGTGAAGACTTCGTAGAGGAGGATCCCGTAGGACCAGACATCGGATTTGAGGGAGTAGGTACGGTAGTTGGCTGCCTCCGGGGCCGTCCACTTCACCGGGATTTTGGTGCTGCTGCTGGTGGAGTAGATGTCATCCTGGAAAGGAAAGGGAGAAGGGTTTTGAGGGACTGACTTAAGAATGCAGCCACTGCTTTTGGGGTCTTGCTGGGGCCGTGGGTTTGGGAAGGGGCAGCGGGGGCTGGCTGCAGCCTGGGGCAGCTCGGTGGCACTGCAGATCCCACTGACTGACCTTGAGGAGCCGGGCCAGCCCAAAATCGGCGATTTTGCAAGTGAGTTCCTCTCCCACCAGGATGTTTCTGGCCGCCAAGTCCCGGTGGACAATGTGCTTCTCCTCCAGGTACCTCATCCCATCCGCCACCTGGCAGGCGATGTTGAGCAGGTGGGAGGTGCCCAGGGACTTCCCTTCAGGACCTGTTAACCCAAAGGACCCAGGCATTTGGGGCAATCTAGCATCTTCTGATTTAGGTGTTCTGGTTTGGGAGGAGACCCTGTGCTTGTAGTATGGGACCCGTTGTTCTAAGGGGATGTGAAGAAACTCAAATCTGAGGTCCCATCTAACCAGAGGTAACCATCCAACCCAACCACTCCCAGTGAGGTTCGAATTGCCCAAACCCAACCGAGGGGTTCCTACGTGCTGGTGGGACACCAAAGGGATGACACCAGACCACGTCCTTCAGTCTTGGGGTCACCCAGGCCCTCCTCCACCAAGCACCTACGGATTGCTCTGCGTTACGGCTGACAACAGGACAAAACCAGGGCTTGTTCTCTCTTAGGGTCCTCTCACAGGTTTGTAGGGCCACCCTTCTGGCCCAGAGGCCTGCTCCCCACAGCAGCACTCACTGTTGAGGTAGCTGTGGAGGTTGCCTTTCCTCATCAGCTCGGTTATGATGTAGACGGGCTCATCCAGCGAGCAGACGGCGTGCAGCTGGATCAGCTTCTCGTGCCTCAAGCGCTTCAGGTTCTGGATCTCCTTGGTGAAGTCCTCTGCCTTCATGTCAGCTGGGGGAGGAAAGCCGGCACGGCTGTCATGAACCCCTTTATCACCCAGACATCGGGAGCTTGGCACCTCTAATTTGGGATGAGGACCTTTCCCACCCCTGTTTTCAGGGCTGATGCGCCCACCCAGCACCTCCGATCCAAACACCCAGTGAGATGTTTCCCACGGGGCTTTGCATCCCATTTTCAGCATCATTCTTCCACTGGGACATATCACAAACTTTACTTAGCTTAATTTGGGTTATCAATTATCACGAGCCCGTTGGACTGAGCCATTTTGGAGAGGCGCAGCCCATGCTTGGCTGGATCCACAGACCCGTGGCTACTTGCCAGCTCGGAAACACAACGGGGTGAACGTTGTGTCAATGACCAAGACCCCATAGACCACCTCCGACATCCTCTCCCCCACGCACCTTTGATGATCTTGATGGCCACCGGCACGGAGTTCCTCCACAGCCCTTCCCACACCTCTCCGAAGTAGCCCTCGCCCAGCTTCCTCCGCAGGGTGAATTCCCAACGTGGGCGCTCCCAGCCGTCCCTCTCGGGGGGGGTCTGCGGAAGGGGCACGGCACGCTCGGACCCGCTGGGACCTGTGGCACAGCCAGCACCGGCTCTCGGTGCCGGTGGCAGCGCCCCGGGCATGGTGCAATAGCGGCCAAGGGCTCCCTGGGGGCACAAAGCCGCTGCAGGGGGCACGGCGTGCACGGGGACTGCGTAAATATCAGGAATTTGAGGTGTTTGAATCCTCCTCATCACCCCCCAAAGGGGCTTTTCTCTCTGTCCACCACTAAATAAAAGTGACTAAATGAATATCGTTGCGTGCGATGTCTGATCAAGACTTCAGGTCATTAAGCATTTCTTTTATCGGACGCCTTTCTATCTCACTCTCGAATTATTCCCATGTTTAATTGTTATTTCTAAGCTGTACTCGGTGAATGTATTTCAAATCAGGACGTAAGCTGGTAATTTGGGATTGGTATTGCAGTTGGATTTAGGAGTGTATTTATGTTTTTATTATATTCTCAAAAAATTTGGAATCACAGCTATTTCCTGACTCAGCATCAAAGGGGCTTGTAGCAACGTGGTTTCCAATCTTTGTCATGAAGCAAACATTTCAGAAAAACTTGTGCATTTTGGCCGAACAAAAAGTCAAAAAGCAACTATACATACACAGAAACAACACCTCCACCTTTAACACAGCCAATAAATGTCAAGCTGACAGCTATGTTAATGGTGTACTTAAAGTTTTAGTTTAATAGAGCTCGAATCCCAAATGGATAGGATTTCTATTTTTCCTTTTTCCTTTCCTTTTCTCCTTTTTCTTTTTATTTTTTCATTTTCCTTTTCCTCTTCCTTTTTCCTTTTCCTTTTTCCTTTCCCCTTCCCTTTCCCTTTCCTTTTTCCTTTTCTGTCTTCCCACCCTGGAAATTTTCTAGGCAAAAAGTAACTAAATAAGTCACACCTGCCAGACACCTGCCAGCAAAAAAAAAACACCAGATGTACCCAGCTCGGCCAAAAGGAGAAAACAAATCCGGGGAAGGGGGCGGATGGCAGTGGCAGGAGCCGGTACGCACCGTGGGGCTGCAGGGCTGCAGCAAGGGGCTCTGGATGACCTTCCAGTTCTCGGTGTAGAAGGCGAGGAGCTCCTCCATGTCGGGGAAGGGGTGCCCCTTCTGGATGTACAGGCTGCCCCCGGGGCTCTTGCAGATTCGGAAATGGCTGACTTTGGCGTGGTTGCGCACTGCGGGGAGCCCAGGAGGGGGAAATCTCAGCTCCTGTACATCCCACTGAACCCCTCCGCTCCCACTCCCAGCCTCTTGAATTCCCCCTAAAGCCACCCAGCTCTCCCTGGGGGTTTGCACCTCGTCCTTCCCCCAGCTCCCGGCTCAGCAGGCTCCTGGCTGTGGGTGGCTTTGGACCGGGGGAGGCGATGCTTTGGCAGAGGATCTCATTCCCCATGCAAACGAGCTGCTCAGAGAGCACCTGAGTTCACCGAGGTCGATGAATCAGAAGCGGCTGTGCCTGCGGAAGGCACGCCGCGGCGTGGGGACTGTGGGGACGTGGGGCTTGCCAGGAATTTCGGGGAGATGTTTGGTTTGGAGAGGAGCAGAGGAGAACGACGCTGCCTGGGCTGAACCTGCCCAGGCCCTGGCAACCCGGAGTGGCAGCGTGCTTTTAGACAATCCCCGGATGACAAAAGCCACTGGAATGAAATTCTGGGAGTTAGGGCTGCCAAACTGTCATTAAAACCGCTGTAAATTGTTCGTGGCTTTCGTACCCTGGGCAGGAGCGAGGCACTTTCCTTCGCCACGGTCATCCAGCAACCCACGCCTGCACCCATGAGCGCTCCCCCTGCCTTTAGGAAGCAGCCAGCTCCTTTCAACAAGAAACCCTAAACGCATTTCCACATTTTTCTGCCCCCGTGCTGGCTGAGCCGGGAGCTGCTCCTGGGAACGGCCTGGCTCCTTTCCCTGTGCTCATTTTCTCCGGGTAATTGCCCCAAAATTACCTGAGAGAGAGTACTCGCCCTTGTTGCTCTCGCTGTCCCGGACGAGGAAGGAGCCGTGCTGGTTGGGAGGCGAGAGGAGGAGCTGCTCGGCCTCGCTGCGGCTGATCTTGCTGAAATACCAGCTGGGGGGAGAGCAGAGACCGGTCAGAGCAAGGTCGGGACCCCCCCGCCAAGGGCTAGGGACCCCCCCAGAGCCAGGGATTTGGTCCCTGACCCCCAGGACCAGGGGCTGGGGTGGGATGCAGCGGGGTTATGCACGCACAGGGTTCACACAGCCAAGGCTGCAGCAGTCCCCAGGGCTCCAACACCCTCACCCAGCCCCAGCTGAGCCAGGGGATGGGAGCAGCCCCCCCCCCCGAGCTTGCTCATCCTCCTGGCAGCCACCTCCCGAGTGGCACTGAGCCTGTAAACGCCTCTGCCCTCATGCACCGTGGCCAGCCTGCGCCTGGGGCTGCTTCATTTCCTTGCTTTCATGAGTGCTTGTTGCATTTTGGCACAATTTCCTCAAATTCCTAACTTCAAACCATTTCCTTGTTGTTGTTTTTGTTTTCTTTAATGCTCGGCAGAAGGCATCTTTCACCCCTCTCCAAGTAAAACAAATTTCCAGCTTACCCTCTGCGTGCACCAAGGCAGGGCTGTGGGCTGCGTTAGCTTCCCTCCAAGCTCAGAAAACAGCAAAATTGGGCATTTCTGCCTCTTTTTTGGGGGGCTACACCCATGTGCCTTGCCAGGGGAGCAGGATCTCCCTTCAGTGCTTGACCTTCAGCTCACAAAGAGCTCTCAGAGCCCTCCAACCCATGTCTCAACCCACGCAGACCTCTCCAGGCTGCAGCAGCACGGAGCCAAGAAGGGGAGGACCCAGCCGACCTTCCCCCCCCGTTTCATGCCCCAAAATCCCCCGGCAAGAAAAGGCAGGTTGGCAGCTCGGGCCCAACGCCCTCGTGACGCACGCGATCCAGGGAAAGAGGCAGCTTCGTTCAGCCTCACGCGGCCGGGACGTGCAAAGCCCAAGGTTTCGTCATTAGCCGGGATCCCCGGCGTCTGGGAAGCCGTGCAGGAAATTATACCTGATGGGTTTACTGCAGCTCAACAAATTACCACCCAGCTGCGACCGGCGGCTCCGGGCAGTCTGTGTGCCCAGGGCTCGCGGCGGCTGCTCAGCGGCCCCACGGCATCGCCCTCACCCCTGTGCCCAGGATGGGGTCCCGCGGACACCCCCAAACCCGTGGGCACAGACCCGTGGTCAGCCTCAGCCTGCCGAATCACTCTGTGCAATGGGAACACAGCACGGAGCTGAACTCCCCCCCAGTTCTCAACAGCGTGGTCCCAAATCGCACCGATTCGCCCCAAAGCGCAGGCAGGGTGGGGAGGGAGGGTCTCTCCCATCCTGCTGGCTGCGAGCTTTGAAGCCTTATTTTCCTTTACCCCCAAGCTTTGGGGGCAGCGGGAGCCTGCAAGGTGATGATCTCCGCCTGCATCCCCACCGCTCGGCGCCACTCAGGACCTCGTGCAGGGGAGCAGCCGCCTCTCGGGGCACTTTGCCTGGCGTGTCGGGACCGGGCTGCCTCGTGCGAGGACAAGCCCAGGTTTTCCCCAGCTGGGAGAGGGCTGGGAGGCTAACCCAGCTCCGTGCGGGTGGGAGAGGCAGCAGCGGGGAGGGAGCCCCCGGTTTTGGGTGCACAAGAACAGCCCAGGCACGGCTTGGTCCTAAAAAGCTCCAGGTTTCCCCGGTGGGTCTCAACCCGAACCACTTCTCCCCGTGTTTTCGGGCTTTTTGGAGCCAGCAGGGCTCAGATAACTCCTGGCAGCCTCCCCAGCTCCATCCCTCCCTGCTGCCTCCCCAGGAATGCAGGGAGAGAGGCAGAGGAGCTGGAGCAAGCGGCGACCCGCTCTTTGGGCACCGCAGGTACCCCCGCGCACATCTCCTGGTCCACCCGGTCGCAAGGTTTAACACCGGGAAAAGGGAACCAGCATCTCTGTCCCCACGCGCTGAGCACCCCCACCCCTCTAATATCCCTCTCAGGAGCAGGAAAACCTCCCCATAGCAGCCCCATAAAAGCCGGGGATGAGGATTTTTGTGCTCCTGCTGCCTTTCCCCACGGAACCACCCAGGACACGCGTCGGGGTCCGAGCCCCGGGTACTTACGGCCGGTGAGCGGAGGAGCCCTGGCTGAGGTTGGCCACGTAGGCAGGCGGGGACGTAACCCATGGCCGGTTCCCCAAGCAGCCTCCGGGCTAAGACATAGTCCCCTTCTTCTCTGAGGACACGCAGTTTGTCCCCTGCGCTTATGCTCAGTTCGTCCGCACTGCGGGCTGTGAAAGCGTATAAAGCGATAAAGAGAGAGGACTTGGGGATGAAGGAAACCGAGCTGGGCTCCGAGTGCAGCGAAACAGAATCGGAACCAAAGTACCCCAGCGAGCAGCTATCCGGGCCGGAGCGGGGCCACAGCTTGTTCCAGAAGGATGTCAAGAAGGTCAAACGCTTGCGGACAAACTGCTCCATCCCCGGGGAACGGGACGGGATGGGACACGCGGTGTCCTAGCCGCCGCCGCCGCTGCTCTCCTTTTTCCTATATCCTTTGGGAAGCCGGAGGAAGGGGCGCGCTGGGGTTCATGCCGCCGGCCCCGGGGTCCCCGCGCGTGCCGGCAGCTCGCTGCCTTCGTCCCGAGCCGCGTGTGCGTCTGGGCGCCCGGCGCCGCCAAGTTCCTATTTCTGAAAGTGAAACTGGTCGGGCTGGTGGGGTGGCTGCTGGGGTGGGTGCGCGGGCGGGACGCGGCTGCAGGCGGCAGCCCCGGCGCGCACCTGCGGGCACATCTGGCAGACCGGCACAGCTGGAGCTGCAGTACGACCAGCAAGGAGAAAGGCTTCTCTTTCTCTTTCTTTTTTTTTTTTTTTTTTTCTATTTAATTATTATTTTAACGCCTGCTCTCACGCTCGTTGCCGGAGCGCAGCCCTCTGCTCTGTAAGCAGCTCTTGTGATGAAGTGGCGGGCTCCAGGTTAATAGTTTGGGGCTGTGGGAGGGTGTTTTTGTAATTTTTTTTTTTTCTAGAGGAAAATAATTGCATCCGCAAATGCGCAAGGGTTAAAAAAAAGAATTAGGGAAGTAACCTAGAAGAGACCTGAAGTGGTTTGGGGGTTTGGTGGGGGAATCCTATGGGGTTTATCTCACCAGAACCCTTCTCCATTGGGTCTGCAGTGGCCTCCGAGCATCACCCCACTGAAGCATTCCCCTCTTCCCATTGATTTCCCTTTCTCATTACAAGGGATTTCCAAGGAATCTGCTTCCCAGACCCCTCAGGATCTTGCCCAGCCTGTGGCAGGGATGGGACCCCCTCAGGACCCGCTGGACATCACCAGCCACAGCGCCAGCATCATCCCCAGGCCCCCGCATGCGCCCCACAGCCAAACCCTCACCCCCAGCCCCATGTGGCCAATTTGCACACCCGTGGTGCCAGCAGCCCCGCTCACAACCACACAGCAAAGCCCCTGTCAACCCCCAGCAGCTGCAGAAGGATGGAGATTTACACCTCACGTAAGGGTTGCATGCTTTAAACTGTCTGTAATGAACCTCTCTGCTGAGAAATCCCAACTGCGGCCCCCCCAAGTCACCCCCGCGTGGGTTTTGTCACTTCCCTGCTTCATCTAATTAGGGGGAGGTTTGTGCTCGGTGCGAGCTACTCCCCCGGGGACTCAGCTCCTGGCCCTGAGCCTGTTATTTTGATCCTCCCCTGCTGTAATTGCTGCAGATAGCTCGTTTTGGGCGTGCAGCTGGGTTTGCAAAGCTACTTGGAAAAAAAAAAAAAAAAGGAAGATTTATTGTAGTGGGTCTGAGCTGAGGACTTCAGTCGGGCCCTGAAGCAGCCTCTGCCCAGGTGGGGCTGTGCCATGCAGCTTAGAAATCCCCACCACAATGACTTTGGGGATTTTTCAGCTTCCTTCTCGGTGGCAGCAGACAGACATTTAATTTGTGTGTTTTTCCCACTTGAGAAAAACAGAGGATGGAGCACAAAAAGGGTCTGCAACCCCAGGGGGGGGAAAAGCAGCGGCCGTCCTCCTTCTGCTGTCCTTCAGCAGCTCTTCTGACAAGCCTGCTCCTCACGTCATGCTCCACGGGGAAGGAAATGGGCTGCCTGCTTATGCATTTAGAGAGATTATCTGATCAGATCGAGCACCAAACGTTTATGCCTCGCTGTTTTGAATGGGGACTTGGTAAACTTGTGGTTTGCAGAAGGAGACTGGAGCCTGATTTACCTTTATTGACCTCCGCCGGATTAGACTCTCTAGTGGTACGACCGATAGACGAGTGCAGCTGATTTATAACACACAAGGCTTTGGACCTTGATTTGCACCTAAATGAAAGAGTACTTCAAAATGACAAACATCCCTGAGGACTAAATACTGCCTCCGAGCCGGGCTCACCAGACATGCATAGCACACACTCATCACTGCAAACCTCCGTCTACACAGCACACGCACGCACGGCTCCGAGTCCCACGCCAGGAAGCAGCTGATAAATCACCACCTTTTTCAGTTTCTTTTCTTTTTTTTTTATTTTTCTATTAAGTTCCAGGAGCATCCCTGCTGCTTTGAATCCCTTTGGTACTATCACACACCTAAAAACAGAAAGGAAAAGAAAAAGCACATCCGTAAGAAGGTTTGGATCCTTGCGCTGGGGAAGAAAGGTGGGAGGATGGAGGGAAAAGTGAAAAAGGTAAGGACGGCACAGGTCCCTAATGGGTCAAGTATTTTCTCTCGGTCCCTGTGGTTGGTTTTCACAGATGCATTCAAACCAACCTGCCCGCGGATTTGTGGCTGTGGCGAACACCCAGGGACCTCAGTTCTAGCACCACTAAAAAGCACCTCCGAAGAGCAAGGAAACCAGAAGACCTGTTCTGTGGAGCTGGTTACAGAGTCCTGGTTTGGTTGCAGAGCACCGAGGAGCAATAAACACAAACAGCACTTTGCATTCATCCATGTGTCAAACGCTGCACATCATGTTCTTCCGCACTAATTGACGGAAACCAGCAGCTCCCCTCCACTAACGAGGGCGCCCATTACATCTAATTATCCGAGGTTCTGTTCCAGGTCCTGTTACGTTTACACTCAAAACACATCTTCCAGCGAAGAGCCTTTTGGGAGGAAAAAAAATAATAATAAAAAAGGGGAGGGAAACATCAATCTAATTAAAACCCTCAGAAGGGCAGAAACTTGGAGGATGCGGTTCATGTTGAGGAAAATGTTTTTGAGTGCTGGGAACGTAACGGGAGGTCACTCACAGGGTAATATAACTCAGGATGTGCCACTTGTTACCAAACAGATGGCACAGGACGGTGGCTGCCGTGGTGGTCTGCTGCTTCTGCCATCCTGGCCCGAAGGGCTCAGCCAGCCAGGAGCCTTCCCCAGGCTCTGGATTTGCCTCATCGCTGGTGGCGCAGACCCAAGCCCAGCCAAAAGGGTGCTTTCCAGCCCTCGGGTTCCTTTTTGCTCCTTCTGCTGGCATGAGAAGATTTGTTTGGGGTTTCATGTTTATTCAATTTTTCTCTTTTTGTTGTTGTTGTTTTGTTGTTTGTTTGTTTGTTTTTTTTAAACCCCACCCAGATTTCTCCTGATGCTTCCTGGCACAAGGGCTCGGAGACAGAGCTTTTGAGAGAGGTCGTGCTTCATCGTGAACCTCGGTCGGGTGCCCAGGGGACGTTGCAGATGATGGGGTGCGTGGGAAGAGGAGGGCACAACAGCGACACTAAAGCAGCTTCGGTTATCCTCCGCTTCCTGGGGACGCGTGGCAGAAGGTGGCACCTCGGCAGACTGCTGCTCTGCCACCATCACACGGGGCAAGTGCCAGAGCCCGTCCCCAGAGGCTGACAAGCAGAGGAGGTCCGGGAGATGGAGGGCTCGGAGCAGGGAGTGCAGGGGCTCGATGCAGGCAGAAGTACGGTCGTGCTGGGACGGAGGTGGTGCAGGAGACAGGAGGGGAGGCAGAGCATCGCGGGGGCTCGTGGGGTGCTCGTTCGGAGCCCTCTGGGAGTGGGGTGGGCTGGCTGGTGGAGAGCAGGAGTGCAGGTCACTGGGCACCTGAAATTGAAGAGAAAAACAGAAAAACTCCATGGGAGGAAGCTGGAGGCCGAGATCACCATTGGTACAGTGCCTGGCGTGCCTGGGCTGTGCATGATTGCAGTACAAAACCAGCAATAATCCTTTAAAACCACACAAGCACTTTCCAGGGACCCTGCAGACCCTACAGGACTCCTCAGGGATCTGCAAACAATGTCAGGAAAAGCCAATTTACACGGGTCACGCTGCAACCCATGGCTGTCAAATTTCTAACGGGGATCAACGTTCGGCCAGTAAATCTGTAAGGATCCACATACCAAACCAGGCTGGAAATGGCATGGCCAGCCTACAGGCTTCCCCTTCTGTTTTCCACTGAGATTATCAGCACAGAACAGCCTTTGCTTGCCCTCTCCTGTAATGTGACTTCCAGAGGATGCTCCTCCTCGCACAGACTGCCTGGCAAAGCAGTGCTTCTGCATAACTCCTCCGCTCTCGTCCCCGGAGTGATCATTTGCAACATGTAAAAACTATTAAATGCCTCCTCCAGACTGGCAGGTGCCAGCAAATTGTTTACCCTCTCTTCCACAGCTGCAGGGATCTCTACGGGAAGTGGTAAAGGATCTCAGCCTGTGCTCACCGTGACCCTGGGCACAGGGAACCAGAGGTCTTGGAGACCACAGCTGAGCAGCGGCAGCAGTCCCCGCGCTGAGCGGTGCTTCCAGCAGTCCTGCCCCCTTGGCTGGGGCTGAGAGTGACTCAGGGGGAAATCTCTGTCAATATGTAAGCAAATAGTGGATTGCTCCATCTGCCCAGGTGTCCTCGTTCCCCTGAGGAGGAACCAGTCCACCTACTCCAGCGCTAGGCTTTCTGATAGCTCTCCCCGCAAAGGGAGGCTCTGGTGGATTTGGGGTTGTGGTGTTGCTAGAAGAAATCGACCCGGAGTCCCAGAGAACAGACCTCAGACACCTCACCCAGTCCACCTCGTCCATCCTATACTTATGTCTTTCCCCATCTTTGCCAAACCAGTTCTTAAAAGACCTCCAGGAATGGATATGCCACAAGGTCCCCAGACAACCCATTGCAGTGAGTCACTAATCATCGCTGTTAGAAATGGTGTCTAACCTGCTGCATTTAAGCACATCACCTCTTGTCCCATTCACCACTGGATTGCTCCATCCCTTTCTGCAGTCTCTTCTGTAGGTGAAGACTGCTCGGGTGTCCCACCACATCCCCCTGGAGGACCCCAGCCCAGAACAACCACACTTACCTTGTACAAAGAGGCAGCACGGTCATCTTTTTCTCCATTTGTCTCCAGTCTTCTTCCCCTGTCCGTATGCGCTGGAGTTCCTGTGGTGCCACCTTAGCTGGCTCTCTAGGACATTCACCTGGTGGGGATATAAAACCAGCAGCTCTAAGAGGAGTCTCCCTTGGGTCAGATGGTTGTTCATGGCTCTGGAGGGCACAGAGGCTGCAGATAGCTAAATCCTGCTCCAGACTGCCACAAAAGACAAATACTGAATGTTTTACCTGTTTCCGTAGGGAAGCAACTGTCTTCTCCAGTTCACCCACGAGGGACTCAAGATTCCTTCTGGAAGAAGGGCTCGGAGAAGGCACTTCATTTCTGGGGAGAGGGATAAAAATGAAACGGATCATGGAATCGTTGACTTCCTGAATTGCCTTCTCCAACACCAGCCTCCAAATCATAAATGGGGCGCAGAAGAGCCCAGCTACCCGCTTTGCCTGCCAAGGGAGGTCAGTTAAACAGCCACTTACGGTGTCCCTGATGTGCCCAGATATTTAAACAGCAGAGTCATGCTCTGTGCTAAAGTGCTGGAGGATTTTGATCAAGCTCAGCAGTGACTTACTGAAACTCTCCAGGCCTCAGTGCAGAATGCCAATGTTAAAGGCATGAATGGAATGAGTTATTAAAAACTTCTCTTACGCTTCAGAACAGAAACAAAAGAAGTGGCAATACCGCACCTGGGGAAGGCAGGCTTGAGCTTGGCAGGATTTTCTTCTGGGTAGCTGAATCCAGGAGACCTCTTGCTTCGGAAGCGCTGGGAGAGCGCCCTGAATTGCCCACGTGTCTGGCAGTCTTGGGAAGGAAGGGAAAGCCCGCATGAGCACCCGTCTTTAATGAACCATTCATCCTGAAGTGATGTGTGAACAAGTCAGTGCTGCTCGCCTTCCCCACCCACCCTTGGTGCCTCTCTTACAGCAGAGTGGAGGAGACAGCAAAGGTGCATAACAGGGCGTGCACCGCGCGGGGATTCCTGTGTCTCGGGAGGACATCTGTGCCAAAACATAGCCCAGAGAGACCATGGCAGGATGTGTGCTTTAACGGAGGAGCTTTACACATCTCAAATGTGTTTGTTTGGTTATACGTGGTGGAGATCACCATGCCTACACCCTATTTCAGTCTCACCCCTAAGCACGAGCCATCAGCTGCTGCCAGAGACAGAAGCACTGAGCTCAGAGGACCCTTTGGCCACATCCATCACAGATATTCCCCTTGCCTAACACTTGGTTCTCACGGTGCACCATGAAACCAGCTCCTGGCATTTTATACAAAGGGATGATGCTGGGTGATGCCCCCCAGGGCCATCAGCCTCCTTCCCACCTTCGCAGCAGTCCTGCCAGAAGCGCAGGTCCACCGCGGGGATCTCCTCGCAGCCGACCATGCCCTGGGGGTACGATGCCACCCGGAAAACGTCCCTCTGCAGCTGCTGAATGTGGTCGCTGTTGTCACAGATGACACGAGCGAGGGACGCCTGCCTGATCTGAGTCAGCTGCGCCGGCGTGAAGACTCCAGGATTCTCGTACCAAAACCTGCAGTGGGCGGTAATCGCAGCGTGAGTCAGGAGTAGAAGAGGAGGACAGGGAGTGAGGATGGGAAAGGGAGAAGAGCTCCTCTACATCTGTGTGGCTGCACTGAGACCACTGAAATGGGCTTTTATTTGGTTGTCAGACAACTGTGAGACCCCATGAGCTGCTGGCAGATCTGAGTGCCACCACCTCACATATACGGCCCCTTGCAGGGGAATCCCAAGCTTCAAGGAGCTCTGCTGCAGCAGGCTGGGAGATGCATGGGTGGGTTTGCAATGCTCCTGCCCTAAGTGCATCATCAGGCCAAGAAGGCTCCCACTTGCACAAGGAGCAAAATGGAAATAGAAGGAAGCTCTCTAGATATTTTCAGCATTTTGAGGAGAGAGTGGACACATCCTCAGTGGTGCCAGGTGCCCTGAAGAGGACAGGGAATTGTTAAATCATGAAAGGACACATTGACAGTAACCGTGGCATGTCCTCCCTCAAATACCAGGCAGAGGAAATCCTGCCTAGTATCAAAGACAAGCCACAGTCAAAAATGACATGTTCTGTTACCTCCTTGCTCCTCAAAGGGGAAAAACCTCCTCAAACAGAATACCAAAGACTTTAGGCTGACTCTGATGACTGTACCTGTCTCCATGCCTCAGCCTGCTGAACTGTGTTGTTAACAAGCACATCAGCGTTGGTCCAACTCTGGTACCAGGGACAAGATCCTCCACCATCAGTGCTGGAAACAGGTCAATGTTTTTGGTAGTTCCATATAAACTGAGGGATAAAAGATATATATTTTAAAAAATAATAATTTAAAGACTATCAAATAATGGAGACAAAATAAATCTGATCCCATCGTAGGAATTTGTATGCCAGGAACTCAGCTGGACAATATTTCTAATGGTCTTATCTAAAAGAAAATGGGATAAAGATCTGTCCTGGAAAGAGTAAGCTAATGGTAGCCAGTGCAGATAGGAGGCAGTTTAGTCTCACTGGAAAACAGCTCTAAGGCTCAATCTGCTCCCAAACTATACCACACCAGTGCCTGATGACAACTCACTCAGAACCAGCCTGATCACTCGGAGAGACCTGATTTATCTTACCCTGTTCTTAAACCACAGCTATTAACTTATCCTAATATCTGTGGGCAGTAATATCTGGGAGGTTATTTAAGGGGTGCTCTGGCAAGAGCAGACGCTTTTCACCGACTGATCTGCAGCGATTCTGATGCTCCCGAGACCCGGCTGCAGTACCTCCTGAGCTTTTCCCTGATCTCCAAGTTCTTTATCTCATTTCTGAGGTCCTCGAATTCCTGCGCAGACGAGAGGTTGCAGAAGACCCTGAAGTCGTTGTACGGTGGGATGCCGTGGTCTCGACCTCGCTGGATGTTGATAGCGGCCAAGTCCAGTGAGACGGAGTGGGCCATGGAGAAGAGCTTCTCTGTCAGCTCCATGTTGAGGAGTTCGGAGGGGACCCGCATCTTCCCAGGAACCCCAAAGAGCCCGCGGAGGAGGGGGTCAATCCCACCCTCCTGCGTGATCCTGAAAGGGGAGAAGAAGGCCTTGTGCAGGGGGACGTGGCCTTGGCGGATGGGCTGGAAGGTTTCGTTCAGCCGGTACAGGATGGGGTTGATCAAAGTGTGCCCGAAGCGGAAAGCGGCGGTGGCAAAGGCGTTGAGAATCCCTGCGTTGACGTTGGGGTCGTAGCCTTTGTACTCACCCAGCATCTTCATCCCAGCTTCCCCGAGGATTTTCGGCAGCCAGTGGGCGTAGGTGATATGCTGCATCTGGGCACCCACGATCTTCCGCGCCTCGTGATAGAGGAGATCTCCATCCCAGTGGGGATTGAGGGCCGAGAGCTCGGCGGCGATGCGGTTGTGCTCCCTGAACCACAGGGTGTGCATGGCCGTGAGGCCCAGCTGCTCGTTGGCACGGTGGTCTCCTGCCAGGAAGCACGGCACGGGGCTCTCGTTCTCATCCCTCATGCACTCAGTGGGTGGCCCCACGGCAAAGGGAAGGAGAGGTTTCCCCGAGCCGGGCACGACCTGGCCTTGCTTCAGCAACCCTTTCTGGCTGCTGAGATCCCGCAGCTCCCTCGATTCCTGCTCGGTGCTGCCGTAGACGTTGGAGGCGTCGATGTAGGAGGTCAAGTGGTTGATCTGCTCCCTGGCGTAGACGGAGTTCATCAGCAGGGAGGTCATCCCGCTGCCGCACACGGGGCTGGAGCGGACGAAGAACATGCAGCGCCCGTTCCTCACGCGGGGGTCGTTGGCGGGGATGAGGACGGAGAAGCACGGCGGGTCGTTGCTGCACACCTGGCTGCAGGGAGCCCCGTCCGAGAAGCGGGACATGCTGATGGCTGCCACCGTCTGGTCCATGTCGTGGTCCAGGAATTGACCCCACTGCATCAACATGTGGGTGAACTGCTCGTCGGGGGTGACGGTCTCGGTGCCGACCATGGCGGTGGAGACGAGGCGGGGTAAAGGAAGGGGCAGGTCCCTGGCGTCTTCTGATAAGGAAAAGCCCCGGGGGAGGTTAAATCCGTTCTGGTAGGCAGGTTTGAGGAGCCGCTGGAAGGCCGTGAGGGACGCGCCCCACATCGGGTGCTGGAGGTTGTTGCAAGAGCCGTCGTGGGTGCGGTACTTCTTGTGGAAGCAGATATCGGAGCAGTTTGGGGTACGGCGGTGAGCAGAGCAGCCCGACAGGTTGGCGATCATGTTGAGGTAGTGAGGAGACACCAAGTCATTGTAACGATAACCTGGGAAGGAAAGCAAAGAGCACCACGTCAGCCCACAGCCGGGTCCTGCTGTCCCACGTAAGGGTGCTGGCCTGAAACCTGCTGCTGGGATCCTCAGGATGGGCATGGGGAGGCCGTGTCTCAGCGTGGTGTCACCGTGTAATTTACAGAAAATCTGGATGCACGGGATTAGATCAGACCCACAGATAAGAAGGGAAAATAATTTAGTATAAACTGTGCAGAGATGGAAACCAGAAGCGCTGTGGCTGGCAGACCAAACTGCTGGGGCGATCTTCTGGGTTTATTTCCCATCTCTCTGGGTTATTGCCGCAACCTTGAGCATCCCTGACGAGCCCAATTCTACGTGACGAGCAGCAGGGAAGCTGTGGGCGACTGCACAGAGCGAAAGTGCTGAATAATGCTGAGCCGTGCGGATGCTGGCGGGGAGCGAGGAGGAAGGCTGGCGATCCGACGAGCCCGGACCAGCCCCGCAGCTCCTCGCAGCCTGGAGCAGATCCAGGCAGGTAAAAGTATTTACGGGCCCAAACATACGTGCCTGCTGCCTGCTGCCTAACACGTAGAGGTGGAAACATGAGGCGGATGGGAACGTCTGATGGGTACAAAGGAAGACCCAGTTAGCAAACTTCATCCTCCGTTACAGCACCCGAATACTCCAGTTTTCGGTATTTTTCTTGTTGCCACTTGGAGGGCAGGAATCACCTCTGCCCGTGCTGCTGAGGAGCTGAAACTCAGATCCACAAGGTCACTCAGATGCCTGACCCCCTTTTTCTAGGGCTGAGGAAGGTAGACGGGTAAATATTTGTAAAGATTAGGGTCTTCATAGCCAATTGGGAGATTTTTAGCAAAACTGGGAACCGAACCACTTTCACGAGTACCAGGTTGGTACAACAACCACAGGAACAGCCCCCAGCTGTCATGAAAACCTTTAGATGTTACAAAGAATTGGGACCCAGACAGCACATTTCTTGATATAATGATAATTAATCTATACTCTTGGCAGAACATTGTACTTTTAAAGCTTTCTAGATACCTATACATTGTTCTTTTAATTTAATTAATTTTAATTAATCACATGGTTCAGAAGGGAAATGAAATCTCTCCTACCTGTGACATTCACGTCCACAATTAAGCCTTGCTGCACGTGTTCCTGAATCAGCTGCAAGGTCCTTTCAAAGATCTCACCTGCCCTGGCTGTTTCAATGGTGTAGGGGTCCCGGGGGTAGCGGAAAAGAGCCAGCAAGTCGTTGGGTGTCTTGGGGCGTCTGTTCCAAGGAATTAGAAGAGATGCTATTTTTTAATAGCTGAAACCCCAAGGTTTTGGGCTTAATACAAAGTGTTTATTTTTTCAACAAAACATATGTTGGGATGCAAGAGGAAGGAATTGTCATTCTCTCAGAAGTCTTTTTTCATTAAGGAAATTCTAAGAAGGATTATATTAGCATTTCTCCCTACACAAAGTCAATTGCATTTATAATATGACTATGTTCCTTTTTTTTCCCACTGTCTCTGGAGCCAACTCCAGCTGACAAAATGCATGTAGCAGATATACGTGACATAAGAAGTGGTATTAGTATATCAGATTTTTCCAGGACCCCAAATGCCTTCTAGCACATCCTCACATCTACACGGTATAGCTTCAACCTCCAATACCTGAACCAGCACCGTAGCTTTCATTTGCGGATTGTCAACAATAAAATGAGATTTCAGAAAGCTTCATTCAGTGCCTCTTATCTCGTTTCTGCTTCACGCCTCACTTCTTGGCCCTTCATGCACTTACTTGCTGAACAGCTCAGTACGTGTTGAATTGATGGCATAGTCCACGCTGCTGATAGCTTCCCGTATGGAGGTGGCTACAAACGTGTCGCCGCTCCGACCGACATCTGTGGCTTTCCGAAGCACAAAGAGAAAATACAAAATTCTAAATTTATTTTGATATTAATTTGTTGTCCAAGCTCAAAAAAAAAATCTGCATATGAGAACAGGCACCACAGTAACTCCACAGCAGGTCAAATTCCATTTGCATTTGCAATTTAAATGCCATGAAACTTTTTTTTTTTTTAACAGATATTCTGAAGAAGAAATTAACTGACTGAAAAAGGTGATTTTTCCAGGTGGCGGCTGTGGAACACTCATTCAGAATCTGTTCCTGTACAGCTTTGCAAATAAATGCCAGTTCTGGTTGGTGGCTTAAAGTGGAAAAAGAAAATGTACAAATCACAGTGGGCTAACCCTCCCCAAATGCATTTACTTCCTACAAAGGAAACTTCTAAAATTCATGAAATTCATTTAAAAGCATTGCTTCTATATTCACTTTCCGTTTGTGGAACACTTCTAATTCAGTTCAAATTTAGTATTAGCACATCAACCACATCATTTTAAAACAAAAATGAAAGCTGTTGTTTGAATACCTTCAGAAGTAAACAAAAATCCTTGACAGATGACTACAGAATGCTTTTTTTGGGGGGGCCTTTTTCACAGCAAAGCAAACCAGTTCTCATTTGACTACTGGTGTGTAAAATGGGCAGCTGGAAAATGAGGTAGGAATCAAGAATAAATCAGAGAAATTATCTTTCAAATAATTTCAGGCAACAAAGAAATTTCAGATTATCTCGGTTCCTTGCATACTGACCCTGTATAGAAAATGCTATTAAGTTCACCTAATAAGCTCCTCAGTATTCATGATGGTCACTCCTGTGTGCTTGAGAAAAGGTCTCCACTTAAATTCTTAACCTTACTGCCGGCCTTTTATGTTTTTTTCCCTTATCAGTTCTTCCTCACCCTCTAAGAAGCACAATGGCCGCACTTGACCTCTGCTTTGATTAGCGGAGGAGTGCTGCTCTTCTTTATTCATTACAGTTTCCCTAATGCACAGAGCACTTGCTTGAAAACCCGAGACTTATTTCCCATCCCTAAGGGACGCGGGGAATGTTTCAACCCCCGTATTTGCAGTGACAGTGTTGTTCTCACTCCCCATCCCCTGGTGTGCGAGGTTACGGTCAGACGCTGACTTGTGAGCGTGCTGGCACATTTTAATAAGTTTCTCCCCCTCAGCAGAGGCAGGAACTCCAGGCACGCTGACAGCTCACTGCAGCATGAGACAAAGCCGGTGGTTTAGGACAACACCTTGTGCTCTGCGTTGAGCAACTGCGGCTCAGCTGAGGCAGCAGCGAGGAGGTGCACGGCTTCGAGCACGCCTGTGGGTGACCTGTGTGCAAAGGAGCTAAGGAAATAAGAGTGTTTTCCCTTCAGATTGCAGCCGTCACGATGCTACAGCCCCTGCTTGCACAAGAGCAAGAGGAGGCTCCAAAGGAGCAGCAGGAGATACGCTACCGGTGATGGTGAGCTGCATGGCGCTGGAGGTGAAGCCAAAGGGGTTTCTCGCTATGCACTCGTATCTGCCCTGGTCGGCCACCCCCAGGTCTTGAATGGAAAGGGTCCCGTCGTGGCTGATGTGGAACTTGCCGCTCTCGGTGATCTGAATCCCTTCCTGTTGAACCGTCAAGATACATAAAAAGGTGTCAGTGGGTGGAAAGCTTCCATCAGCCCAACCTTCGGCAAGCCCGCAGATGGATGCGATGAGCGAAGGCGGCCACCAGATGTTAGCATTGCTCTTCCAGAGGAACCAGAGAGCCGTCCGAGGGCAGCTGCTCCTGCCTGGAGCCACAGCAAGGACCTCCTTGCTCAGCTCCCTCACCCCCAGCTGCCCCCAGGCGCTCGCTGCAGGGCACACAAGCAGCAGTTTCTCTGCGCTGCGCACAGACAGCTTGGCACAGAAGTTCTGAGCCACATAACTAAGTCTAAATGTCCGCAGTTTGGGGGCAGCCTGAAACTGAGGGATTTTTGTTGGCTTTGAACTGCAGATGCCAATTTTTGCTGGCTCTGGGCGGCATCGCTGATTAAAGTGCTGCAGAAGGCAGCACAGCTCAACCCCACCTCTCAACCTGCCCGGTGGCACAGGTGGCTCCAGCTTTATTTCTTTATTCTTTTATTTCTTAATATCTTTCTGCTGCCCTGGCCCAATCTAAAACTCACTGTGCTGCCCTCCCAGACTCTTTCCTTCTGCTCCACTGCTGGCTGGAGCCCAAGGCAAGCTGCAGGTCACCTCCCACCAGACCTCTGCGGGGTAAATGAAGCTGAAGCTTCTTCCCCTGTGACTTGTTCCATGCCTGACTGTGCTTACAGCCAGGGCAGGTCCCAGTGAAGGTCACAGGTGTGATATGGCACAGAAGGAAAAAGTCTGAAGAGCTCCATCTAATGAATTCTTCAAAAAAAAAAACAGCCAGACTGCAGCATGACTGTAAGGGATCATGGCTTTGCCCCACCAAAGCTGGGGCCAACCAGCATCATCCAGTCCCACCAGTGGGAATCCTGGAAATAAGGACAAACTGCTTAGGAAAAATTCAGTTTTCAGTTATTTCCAGGAATAGTCAATCAAGCGTTTCTAACATCCTGGAAGGTCACTGGCTTCAAGTTACTCGTTTGGAAGGAAGAGCAAGAGAAAGCAGGCATGTGCACTGCGAGGCTTTGAGCCCAAGAAACCATTTAACAGCACAAATCAGTGGAAGTGTTGGTCCTTATAGTGAATGTGGCTTTTCCCTGTACATTGCAGAAACTGATTTAAGTAGTTCAGCTGGGAGAGTTTAATGAGAGAGCTGCTGAGGCTTCCTGAGCCACGCTGAGTGGTGTCGCCTCTTACTTTGACCCAGGTTATGGTGGGCCGTGGGTCCCCCTGGGCAGCGCAGGTGATCGCGACATCCTGGCCGGTCTCTGCCACCACGTCTTGGGGGGGATGAAGGAACACGGGGATCACTGTGAGACACAGGGAAAAAAAAGTTACAAGCAGAAAAAAACACAAAGAAAAACAAGTCTGTGTGCAGAACTTCTCACTGTTGAGAGCACAGAGTTGCTGGGCTCCTTTTGCTGTTCCAAGGGTTCTTCAAAAAGTGTCAGAAGATGCACAGTCTCTGTCCCTACACCAGGTCCTCCATCATTTACATCTATTTCTTTACTTTCTACTCCCGTGTGTCTTTGTTTGGTGCAATTATATTGGAATGCATTAGGCTCTCTGTCATTTAAAAACTTTTATTAAAGGACTCTCTAGGAAAGATGCTCTAGCCGAAATGCTGATTGTGGATTGATTCAGGGATTATTGGGTGAGGTTGTCTGGGAAGTGTTAGGCCAGATTAAGGAATTATATCGATCTTGGTGGTCTTAAAATATTCTGTGAATCCTTTCTTTGCAGCATTAATAATTTCATGCTTCCAGTTTCCTTCCATGCAGTCTATCATTACCAAAATTCTGTCATGCTTGTGAAAGAGCAAGGGCAGTTGTTTGTTTTGAAAGATTATTTATATGGGAATAAAAAAGAAAATGAAAACACGAAAGCATTCCTGTGTGACTTTTGTTTTCACAACGGTTTGATTTTAGAATACCTAAATTTAGGTTGAACCTGTGGCCTTGTAGCTAATGTTTAAGATAAATGTATCTGGAGCCTGAGTTAAATCTTGCTGAGAAGTAATCAGTTTTTTGTTGTTGTTTTGTTTTGCAGAACACTTAATTTAAAAAAAAAAAAAAAAAAAAAGAATGTCACAATTTATTCTGTAGGAAAGCCAACATTAAAAAGAAAGAAAGAAAGAAAGAAAAAGAATTACTAAGAATTTAATTAATATAATTTTTTAAAATTCTCCAACAAAAGTCTTGTTTCCTTTACCAAAAATCACTTTCTTAATAAAAACTCCCTAACACATTAAAGGTCCCCATTTTTCACCCAAACTGGTCCAATAACAAAGCTCATCTGATGGGTGTTAAAGGTCACCTCTGCTCACAGAACCCTGCCTTAGTTTTTATGCAACCGATACGATCCCTTCTCCCATTCACTGGCCACCCCAGATGACTGCATTCCCACGATTATACTCTTTCTAGACAACTAGACAAACTTTCAAGTAAGGAAAAGCGAAGCAGCTTCTTCCAATTTGCAAATCTTGGCACAAGGGAAACCTCTTTAAAGTTTCCCACCAACAGATCGAGCTCTCATGGCTAGACGTCTGCTCCCTGGCAAAAGCAAACTCCCATCCCACAGGCATCAGGGCAAATCCCTGCCTTGTCAGAAACTGTTATCTACCAAAACATTCACTTAACGAGTTAAGGTTTGCCAGGTTAATTCTCACAACCTCCAGCTCCCGGCAGCTTACCTCGGGGGGTCACGGAGAGCTGCACGGGGAGGGTCCTCACCCCGATGGCACTGATGGCATGGCACTCGTACTGGCCTTCGTCGTGCAGCGCGACCCTCATCACCCGCAGGGTCCCCGTGGAGAGGATGCTGTGCCTCCGGTCATTTGGCAGCGGCCCACCTGACGGAACGAGCAGAGCAATTTGTTAATTGGCTGCGAGGTTTCTCTCCCCATCACTGCAGGTATCTGTGTGAGGAGTAAAAATTTCATTTCCTTCCCGACGTGGCATCAGGCACCCTGAAATATCAGCTTCAGCACGCTGAGGGAGGAGTGGGCAGATGCTGCTCTTCCCACACCCAGGAAGATGACTGAGTTGTCTTGTCTAAGCAACACAAAGGAGATGGTGCTTTCTTTCCTCAAGCCTTTTCTTAGTGAAAAATGCAGATTTACCAACACCTGATGGAAAGCAAATCTGCGTTCAGTTATCCAAGCTGTCTGTTCAGTCAAATACATGGGAATATTTAACATTGCCTTTAATTCAGTGTTTTGATTTTCTCCAGGTTGGAAACTATATCATTCATATTTTCTCTACTTAAGGTGGAAAGTTCAAAATGAAAATGTTTTATTAACCCTCACCCAAACTTCTCTATCTAGTTACTTTTTCTTTAATATTCTGCTTTCTTCCAAATGAGAGCTCTGTGGGAGCTGTGCTCCAGTACTTCTCCTATTGTCTTGGTCTTAGCATGTCTCCTGTAAAAGCACTTCAAAGCTCAGCTGATTTTTGCCCTATTGAGTGACGTAGCAAAAATGGTTACAAAAATCACCTTAACTTTACTTCTTGTCACCGTGACCTTTTACATCTCTCCGAGAGATCACAGCAGTGAAATCAGGTTAAAGGAGATGGGGAACAAGGTGGAGGGGAATTTCAGCTGGTCCTTAACTCTGCATTAGGGCTATAGCTGTGGAAGCTGGAATACAATAGCCATGAATCCTCTGCAGCACTAAACCATTAATTATGGCTTGTGAAGCATAAGGAAAAGTTGGAGGGCCTCTGGGCCAAGCGTTATTGGCTTCTGTCCCAGAGCGTGTTAGATGGGATCAGTTCAGCACAGCCAGCGCTAACAATCATTAGAGATTTTAAAAGTTCCCCACCACCTGTTGGCCCAAAGAGGTTTTTCCTGAGCTAAAAGAAACCTCAGAGGTGTGTCAGCAGAGAACCAGCACCTTCCTGCTCCTCAGGAGGAGCAGATCAGAGACTTACAGAGCTGGCACACGGTGATATCCACCAGCCTGGATTTTCCAGACCTCACCTTTCCAAAGGCTGTAGGAAGTCCCAGGAGGAGGAAGCTCAAGGCTCTCCATGGGTTTCCAAGGGTGACCTTATAGCTTAGCTCTTCTCACCCACATCCCATGGGTGGTGGCGTGGAAGAGAGAGAAAACCCAAGCCAAGCGAGGCAGTACCTGCCCGTGTCCAGGCAATCACGGGTGGAGGGTGACCCTCAGCTGAGCAGAGGAAATCCACGCTTTGCCCCTCGGTTACCGTCTGATCAGTGGGGACGAGGAGAAACCTGGGAGAATCTGGAAGAGAAAGCAACGACTGAGGAGCAGGCAAGAATTCAGCCAGCAAGCTCTGGTTAATTCTCAGCTCATGGAAGCATAAAAATTAATGAGTCACAACGCACAGGGATTAAACGCACACACCTGGACCGAGCATTTTATCCCCAAAACAGCATCAGCGCGGGGCTCCTCACCTTGCACTATGATTCTTGCTGTCGCCTGGATGGACCCCTCGGTGTTGCTGGCGTTGCAGTTGTACTGCCCCTGGTCGGAGAAGGTGACGTTCTGAATGAAGAGTCCTCCAGAGCTGGTGATGGCGAAACGGGGATCCTGCGGTAAAGGAGAGCCTGTGCCAAGGGTCCAGCTGACGCGGGGGTGGGGGTGCCCAGAGACCCCGCACTCCAAGGTGACGCTTTCCCCAACCAGCACTTCAGTGTTCTGCGGCTGGATCACAAAAGTGGGCTTGGCTGGAAGGAAAGGAGTGCTTCAGAAACCAGGAGCCCTGCTGCCTGCTCAGTCGCAGACAGAAATTGCTTGAACCCTTCATGCAGCCCAGCTACTGCCCTGTCTTTTGCCTCTTCCCCACTCCCATGTCCCCTCCCCACTTGATGCCCCCATGCTGCAGAGTTCTTCCCAGCCTCCCAAGTCCCTCCCTAACCCCAAATCACCCCCAGTCTCTAACCCCCCAAATTCTGACACCCATGAAGGAGACACCCCACAGCTCAGCCCGTGCCGTGCCATTACTCTCCTCCCTAGCACACCAAGACCAGTTCAGCACATAAAAAAGAGGGTGCCAGCTCTGCTCAGCTCCCCTTCCAGCCCTCCCCACGCCTCTGAGATGGGCCAGGAAGGAATAAACAAGGCTCAATTACACGGGGTGCCAAAATAGCGCAGAACAACTTCTTGTGTCTTGACCTCCCCGGCGATGTTCTTGGCCATGCACTGGTAGACGCCTTTGTCCGACTCCTTGGTGTTCTGGATCATCAAGGTACCGTCCTGCAGCAGGTTCAGGCGGTTGTCATCTTTCATGTCGATCTCGTTACTGAAAAACAGCCATAAACAGGGAAAATTGGAAAGGGGAAAAGCCCAAGGGGTCCTCCCACGAGCTGCCAGCGGAGCAGGGGGGCTTTGCACGCACTGCAGTAAATTGGCGTTCCTTGGCACTGCTCTGAGACCTCATGAAGTTTATAGCGAGAGTTATGATTTAGAGCTCTGAACTCCAGCTCCAGCTCTGATTCACTCCCTGGGCGAGCGACTTTCTCCCTCACCACGGATTCTGTGTGACGTTTACGGCCCATCAGGAGAGCGCACTGTTCCTGAGCAACAGCATCGCTGCTATTGTCAGCCGTCGAGGCTTGCGAAGCTTGTTCTCATTATTTACCGAGTGCAAATATACTAATGAATGCATATTGTTATTGTGTGCAGCCATTTCTATTCGAGCGGGCTCAAGGGCCTCAGGAGGGGGCAAAAACCTCCAAGTAAGTCTCAACGGGACCCTACCCTGGCTCGGATTCCAGCCCGAGACCTACAAGCTAGGAAGCATCTTCCCTTTTTCTGCAGTGACCTGTGACTCCTGGAGCCCAGCCCGCGGCAGAAGGTCCCACCACGGCATCCCATTTGTCCCAACGTGAAGGAATCTTGGATGGCTGCGGGTGATTGAAAAGGGAGAGGGGACCTCTCTCCCCCCCAGGACAAAAGCTGAATCCACTACGCAAACTAATATGCTTGCTGGGCATTTATTTAATTCCCCCGGTGTCTCCTCGCTGCAGTCATATCTTGTTTGAGGAACATTTATTATCATTACCCCTCTTACAATGCTATCTTTGGGAGCCTGCCAGCATTTCCCTAACAAGACCTTCCTTCCAGGGGACTTCACTCAGCCATAAACTTTTGCTCCGTGCTGAAACTTTGCCTGGTGGGGAGTTAGCTGAAGAAGCATACATTGATCATTTTTATTAATAACCAGGCCCTATTCAGACTCCCACAGACAAGAAGCTCGTAAAGCAGCTAAGTAACTTCGCTTCCTCAGTGGGTAACTGCTTGAGCACAGAATATTTTATTGTGTAGCATTTCCCAGAAATGCTTTGGCATCTAGCAGAGCCATATATTTTTTTCAGCGGTGCTGCATATAGCATTAATCTGCAGGCTGCTTTGCAAAGTCTTGTCTTTCGGAGGAGCACGGTAATTTTCCCTCTGATGGAAAAGCGTTCTCCCAGCACACTGGGCCTTCAATGAGAAAAAGCAAGCATCGTGGCTTAGAGCAACGCAAAATACCTTTCTCCTTTTTATTTTTTTTTTTTTATTTCAGTCTGCAGAGTGTGTTTATGGGAAAGTTATAAACTCCTGGAATCCACTACAATCCACATGAAACGTTTTAAATACAGATGATAGCTTGGATTACACGGCCATCAGAGAACGCTGTTAAAAGGAAGGTAAATACAACACCTGGAATATTCATTTCTAGTTTTTAACGTTGCATGAAACAGCTTTTGTAATTGCAGGCTGAGGAGCTCAGCGCTTGGTAGAAACCTTTGCTACCCCGGGGCTCATTGCGTGCGACTTACTTGTTGTGCAGCCAAATGATCGCAGGCTTCGGGTTGCCTTCTGCCCTGCACGTGAAATAAACCGTGTTTCCCAGGAGGACGTCGACATCGTGGGGCTCTGAGGTTATGCGAGGCCTCTCTGCAAAAGACCATTGGAACACAACCCAGTCGAGAGCAGCACAAAAGCACCTCCAGTCTAAATGGATGGGGGAAAACACCATCCTGCAGCCCCATCCTGCAGCTCCTGGGCACGAGGCACCAGCAGAGCCCCAGGCACACGGGCATTTAACACAAAACCAGCCCAAGACTTCTTATCAAGAGCTGCAAAACTAAAGGTGCCAGGGAAAAGAAGAGCATCATTTATTCAAGCCCTGCAGGTCCACAGTGACCATTCTTATTATCAACAGCTGCTAGGGAAGATCAGCTCCCTGCAAAGCCCAAGGCAGCACTGGGAGGAAACCAGACCTGCCTGCACGCTGGATCACTACAGCTGCCCCAAAATTTGGTTCCTGGCTCCCCCAAATGACCCTGTAAGTCAGCAGCACCCTCACGTGGGTCGTTTTTCTGCCCTTGGCATCCTGCTGCTCTCAGCAACCGCCTGCTCCATCCGGACGGTGCCAGCTCTCTGCAAATCACACCGCTTCTCTTCTGACAGGGTTTCATTCATTATGGCCCTAATTCATCGTCCCAGCCCTATTCAGCTGAGCCTTTCACTACGTGCTTCATTTTGAGATGCACTCAAGCACTCAGCGAGCCAAACGGGCTGAAAGGACGTGCTAAAATAGGAAGGAATTCGTGCCCATGGTCTGACGCAGCTCAATCGTGTTTCAGCAGAATACTTTCTCATCTAACAATCTCTACGCTCACCAGCAAAACCAGGTGGATTATTCAAAAAAAAATTAAGTGAGAACCTGCTAACTTTTCCAGTGTAAGGCTGGTGCCTTTATTCGTTAGCCTGCAAGTCCACGAGTTGGTAGCCAGCCTCCAGGATTCCAGGGAGAGACCAAAACCACCACGAGCCATGATACAAAATGCTGACCCGGTGCAAATCCGCACTGCTGGCTCACATCTGCTCCGAAGCGGTGGGTTAACTCCATGCCAGCAGGCTCCACACTGACTCAGATATCAGCTGTCTGCATCATTAGGGCTTTATGCTGAATTATGCATCGTTTGTCTTCCCCAGCTGGCACAACACCAGCGTAAAAGCCTCATGCCAGCAAAATCTTCCCACCAGGTGCCCTGGCTAATTTGACAGGCATCCCGCTGTGCGCCCATGCCTGAACCGGGACAAATTTCCATCGTGGCTGTACCACGGCAGCGGGTGCACGGCAGGGACAGCTCGTGGTGCAGCACAGCCCATTGCAACAGGTCCCAGCCCGTGTTCCAGCTGCTGCCCTTGGACCCTTTTTGTTCCCTCCACCCCCTCGAGGTTACGGGCCCCGTTTGTGCCAATTCAGCCCTTTGCACAGCTGCACCCTAAATGGAGCTGCAACATGGTCAAAGAGGGAAAAAAATAAATAAATAAAATTGTAGGAGAAAAGTGGAATTCAGGAGAATTCAATTTCTTCAAGCCCCAGCTGATGTCACACATCTGGCTCCCAGCAGGGCCACACAAACAGCTGGACTGGCACGTACTGGGGGGCTGCTGGTGTCTGGTGAGGGGCAACACCTCAAACCAAGCCTGCTGCAGGGAAGTATCGGGGATCCACAGCCAAAGCCCTGCTGATGCTTGCACACCAAAGGCAGCGTTCTGTCGTTCTCTCTCCACAAAATGTTTAATTTTGTCATTTTTCAGAACAAAGCCTTTCATTTCAAAATGGATTAGTTCATGGAGAAATTATCTAAATTTAAAGAATAACAGATTAACAAACGCAACACACTGCCACAGGCAAAGCATCCGGCCATTCACCCACCATGTGTTTACTTGGGCTTGCAGCTGTTTGGAGCCACTGAGACTCTTGCAGCGCTCCCACTCCATTCAGCCTAACGCAGGACAAGATTTCCCAATTTCTGGTTTAGCCTCTGACTGCAGCAGATCCTGTGCTGGCCCTACGCTTTCTAAAAACCAAGACAACAACCGCCAGACAAAACAGAGCAGCTTTCAACATGCACGCGACTGTTGACTTTCCCCGCGTTACACTGATAACCAGCCTGACCCCAGCGAGACATTTCTGGTTTGGCAGAGACAGGAGAGAGAAAGCAGGATCCCGGGATGGAAGAGAGGAAGGGAAAGAGACTGGGGGAAGCATTTCCTAGCCCAGAGCCCAGCCCCGTGGCTGCAGGGCTCACCGCAGTTGAACTCCTGAGCCGTCAAGGTGACGATGGAGCGGCCGTGCAGCTCCCGAGGAGCCTCGCAGGTTGCGGCTGTCTGAATGCTGCCCTGCTCCGCGTATTTCTTCAGCAGCTCGGCCAGCCACAGCAAATCGCAGTCGCAGAGCAAGGAGTTGGAATCCAGCCGCCTGCAAGAGCAAGGGGAAAACATTTCAGTCCCCAGCCTCCCGCCTGTGTCCCCACCTGCTGCCTCTCTCCTGGGCATGAGAGAGGAGCAGCCCTGGACTGAAGGACCACTCGGCTGTTCTTCCTTGCATTTGATTATATCCCAAATGAAAATCAGAAATGTTTAATCCCCATAGCTCTTAAATTCTTAACCAAGTCAGAATGATTTTGTTGAAACACAGTTGTCTATCGGTCATCCTAGTTTTAAATGACAATTGTTCTATTTAACGAGCTAAAATGAAATATTTAAACTTCTCAGAGGATGGAGATTTCAACCTTTGTTAACTCTCTCAGGTAGCACTGCCTCTGCTAGAGATTTCTCTGTTCTTGGGTCAAATATCACCGTGTGACTGCGAGACATGCCTGAACCAGGTCGAATGGGGGCAATGGTGACCTCCTGGTGCCTTTCCTTCCACTGACCTCATTACGCCGTACAGGGCTGTGTGCACAGATAAAGGAGGCTGTAGGGAGATTAGCTTATGCCTCCTTCCCCACTGACAGTTTTACAGTATACGAGCCTTAGCCATCTAAAAAGACACGGGAGAAAGGCCTAATGGCTTAATGGACAAACATTTGAGAAGGTGAGATTTCGCACAAGGCCATGACACAGCACTTCATAGACACCGTGCCTTTTTCTCCGACCCACACAGACAAAAGTTGTTCTCTGTTAAAAAGATACGAAGCATTTTACCCGCTTGCAGAAATCACAGAGCACTGTGGGGAGAAGCACACGATTTTCTTGCAGTATAAAATCATGGCAGAACCCCCAAATTCTTCAGTTTTTGCTTCCCTCCTTCTCCCCCATTGGAAATGCATCATATCCAAAGATCATAAAACACCAAACAAAGCTAAGCACTAGGAGATTTAAGCAAGCAAAAAGTAAGAATAAGAGACAGGTTACACGGGAATAACACAGCGGGGCATTCCTTCATGGGGTGAGAATCATGCACTGAGCAAAACGACCTTTTTTTTTTTTCTTTTACAGCTACGATTTTTCCTCCTGTGTTAGGATACGGATCTAAGATATGATTGAGGTCTTATCCATGGCATGGACTTCCCACGTTTTTGCATACTTTTTTATGGTTTAAAGCACGTAGGACAGCAGAGGGTTGGGATGACTTTCCAGGAACGTTCGTTCCTGCAGTGTTATTGATCTGTAAGCTTCCAGTTAGACTTTAATTAGACACCAGCAGTGAAGCAACTCCTCTAACTGGTTAAATCAGCTCTTGCATCCAACCAAAACTGTTTTATAAACTTCACAGTGGCCTTAGAAGTGTAACAACTAAAGGCTTTGCCAACCAGGCACATTTTTCCTCAGATCCTGGCCGTCTGATCGAAGATAAACAATTGCTCTTTGCAGGCAATGTTTTTTACTTACAGTCGTTTGAGGGATTCCAGTTGAGAGAATGTCCCTGGATGAATCCTGGAAATTTTGTTGTTGTGCAAGAATCTGCAATGGAAGAACCCGTGCCAAAACATTATTCAGTATTTGCACTACACGGATGATAACAACCCAGGTCAGAACTCAGCTGAAGTACAAAGGTTGCTCACCAAAATGGAGCTCGGAGTTTTAAATTGACTGTGTTTGTTTCCATGAGCTATGGGGATTTTATTCATGTGAGAACGCAATGCAATACACCGAAGCAGGGAGCGGGTGTGTACTGGAAATGGTGACTCAAGATGTGATGTAACAGATTTAAACTGGAACCTCAAAATTAATCTGCTTTATGCTGTGCAAAGGGAGGAGAAAGGGCACAAAATCCCTGCAGGCTGGACCCACCCTGTGCTTTCTGTGCCATGGTCAGCTCCAGTTTACAAGAGACCTTTCCCCCCTGCAGATGATATTGGAGTTTACAGGGGCAGCTGTTGAAGTAAGGCTCCAGTAGACAACTCAGAGTAGTTATAGACCCAAATCCATGAGTAAATCTAATTCAGACAGCAGCAGCCAAACCTGGGTATACTCTGAACGAAGCCAAAGCAACTTCTCACTTCCAGGTTCTTAGCATGTAGATAAGACTCAACAGTTCTTAGAAAAAAAACTGCACTGAAACACAGCAGGGGGGAGCAGGATGGAATAATTAACTCTCCATTCCCTTAATGGAGGAAATTTAGTTATGTCAGTTACATCTAATACTCTCAAAAGACCACTGACTACAGAGAAGTAATTTTAGTAGATGGTGGAACAGGAAAGCAATACAAAAGCAGTGTGAGTTGAGTGCAATTGTCTGCATACACACATGTACAGGGGGGTTCAGCCTAGCTGCGCAGCCTGGATGTTGACAAACCTTCCTCTGAAACTTAAATTCGGAATTTTTGTTGGATCAAATACAGAGACTGAGATCAGCCACAGCGTACTGATCCAGGTCTGAATTTTTCTAAGGGTGTTGTTTGGATCCCTCGGTTTTGTTTCCCTAGTAAGTACGGGTGTAATGCATGTTTGCTTGCAGCACAGAAGGGTCTGTTGGTTTCACCATGGAGTGGGAACCACCACGTGAGCCTTTTTCCTGGTGGGTATGTTTTTACTACAAGCAATGCTGGGGAGCAGGGGACACAGGACTTAGTTTCCTAACTGCTTTCAAGAAGGATGCATGTTTTTCTTGTCAGATATTCTTATGTCTTTGTTCCTTTTCCATCTCCTTTTTTGTATACGCTGCCCAACAATGACTTAAGTTGACCTTACAAGTGGAATAAGATTGACTTTCTCTAGATTTACTCCTACTTAGATGGAACATGAACATTAAACAAGGTGAGAAATTCCCACATAATTTCAGTAACCATCCTGTTTCTCAAGTATACAAAATCTGATTCTTTAAGGATGCTTCTCTCCATACTTCTTTCCTTTTTGGAGATCACCGCACTTTGCTTCACAGCTACAAAAACATCACTGTTAAACAAAATGAAGTTTTTTTTTACCTGTCTTCTCCCCCACTAACTCACAAGGAAAGTCACATCTTTACTTACAGCCTTTCAAGTTTAGGCAGGTCGCTAAAAGTCTCTGCCTCCAGGGTTTCCAGGTTGTTGAAGTGCAGGTAGCTGTCACACAGAAAAGCACAAGGGACAGGGTTAAGGATCACAATTTAAAAGATAATCACTCACCACACATCTCAGTATTCTCTTTAGTATCTTCAATTTTCACATGCAAAAATAGTAGCCAACACTGGCTTCTCCCTGTGCTGTCAATTGTTTACTCTCTCTGAATAAACTGTAACACGCACTGGGGAGATCAGATTTGCTCTTCCCTTAAACTGTGAAAGAATGAAACTCATGAAGAGCCTGCAGCAGCTGTTCCCCATCCAACCACCATCCAGGAACTTTCCCTGCCTCGCTCCTAATGCCTCGACATCCCCCTACACAGCCTTGGATCACTGAGAAGAAATAGCCATACTATGAAGCACTTGTCCCCAGCCTAGAAATTTAAACATTTCTGAGAGGGATCATGAGTTTTCCAAGAATTAATATTTAGAAAAAGGCCCTGAGCATTCTGATAAAACTTTGAAGTCGGTCCTGCTTGGAGCTGGAGGTTGGGCTAGAGGCATCCAGAGGCTTCTTCCAGCCTGTGTTTGTTTGTGATGCTAGCAGGGGCTCCCAGAAACGAAGAAACAAGAGCAGGAACATTTAGGTACTGCTGTCATCAGGCTATTCTGTTTCTGTGGAAGGAAAACAGCCTCCAAAGACAGAGATAATGCAGTCAGCTAGAACACTATCATCTAAATGGTACATTAATGTGAACAGCCTTGCTATTGCTCATGCAACCAACCTGCTGCTCCATCAGCAGAGCTCCAGGAGACCTCCTGCACTGCCCCAAGTTACTCCCTGCCATCAGCAAAACAAATCTGGGGTCTGCAGCACCACAGCAAGGACCCTGACATCCCCTGCTCCCGTTAGCTGTGGTGTGCACTGACATAACCAACCTGGTCCTGACGTTTAAACGCATCTCGGGGCAGTTTCCAAGTTGCCCAAATTCTTCCCTGATTTTTACACAAAAGCATACATTCTCCAGCAGACACTGATTAATCGTGGGTCTACAAATACTCGCTGCTATTGTAGCTGCCTGGGATGAGAAATAATTGCCTAAGCCTCCGCGTGGCTGTTTGATTTGTAATGGAAGGATTCACAATAAATGGATCGCTATCAGAGCACAAAACAGGCACGGTGACTCAGATCCTGCAGTGGAGGGCAAGAGCGGGGAGAGGGAAACGCATGTGCTGTAATAAGTCTCAGATGTCTGCTGTCACTGCTTTGGCCTTTGAGGAAAGCATCTGATATTGTCCATCAATCGGGGGCTATACTTTCCTTGAAAAGCTGGCTGGTGGGGTACAGGAACACGGGGTAGGATTTGAGCAAAGCTAATTCTTTTGGAACCGTGCCTGCCTCCGAGATTGAAAACAGATGGGCCTTTCCAAGGGTTGTTTGTTGTTTTTGTGGCTTTGTTGTGTTTTGTGTTTTTCTTTTTCTTTTCTTTTATTTGTGACATCAAGTCTGGAACGCTCATTGTTAAAATATCACCGAGGCCAGCATCATCTCCCTGAGCACAGCTGAGCCCGTCTCTGCTTCCCGTTTTCTCCCAGGAATCACTGCTGAGCTGGCTGATGGAAAAAGCATACCATACACAAGGATGGCAGCACACCCGTTGTTAAGCTTGCCTGTTATGCCCTACAGCTATAATACCTACAGTACCTATAGCTTGCAGCTATACCCCATCCACTTCTGCTGTCAGCCTAGAGAACAAGCTGGATCCTATTCTTTTTACAGCAAAATTGTTAGCTGCATTCCAGCCCCATAAACTCTGCCGTTTGGGACAATCCATGAATTAGTGGTTTCACCTTTGCTCCCTGTTCTCCAGTGATGTAAATAATTGCTGTATTTCAAATACCTATGCTCGCATTCTTTCCAGCACACACAAATTCACCCGCATGCACGTCATATATCATGACACCTGACATGAAAAATCCAACCCCAGTTCAGCAAGCCCCGTTAGAAGAGTCAGACCTCAGTCCTGCCATCTCACCTTTAGCATGGAGCCCGAATGGTCAAAAAACAAAACCTCTTTGACAGAATAAACAGCATGGATTTGCAATACACAGAAGGGGAGCAATTAAGGATGCAGGAATGTCACTGTGAGAGGCTCCAGCTGCCAGGAAAACTCATGAGGCTCCTTTCATCCCAGAGAGCCTCGCAGCCTGGAGGGAAGGTCGTTACTTGGTTTGCCTCCACCTTTTCTTCTCCCCATTGCGATGTCCAGATGATTTAGCGCATGCAAACACCACCACCCTGGTGGCTTGCATAAATACCCCATCCCAGCTCTCAGCTTGCACTTCATCCATTCGCTTTCAGGAAAGGTTTGGATAAGAGAGAAACTGAACCAGCACCATCAGTTCAGGAGAACGGCCAGACCCTACACTGCTCCAGAAGTCCCAGCAGACATAAACACAGCAGGCCAGCTGCCTCCTGTTTCAAGCCATCCTACACATCCCTGGTTTCCTCCCATTGGAAGTTCTTTGGACACAGAGGGAATTAAAAGCACAGCTGGGCTCTTCTTATGCTCCAGAGGTTTAGGGTCAGAAGAAAACATACGGGACATCAGTAGGAAGAGCCCTTGGTATTAACTACCTCAAATCACTACTGGGACCAGCCGTTTTTAAGTGAAGCCAGTGCAGTGTTGCAAAGTTGGACCTCAAAACAGCAGAAGCCTCATCCTACTCCTTCCTAAGTGGCTGGTACACAGAAATGCAGCTTTGGGATTAGACAAGCCAACAGCTCGGCTCTTCTGCACGACAAACTCAAGCGACAAAGAGCACTTGTCTGTACTTACAGCTGCTCCAGAGAGCGGAGTCCTTTGAAGGCATGCTGCTGGATACTCTGAATTTCGTTTTTATAAAGGTAGCTTTCAACAGGAGAGAAAGAAAAAAGCATTAGGACAACCCACTCAGCAGTCGTATTTTAAGAGACACAGGAAGCCAAAGCAGAGCTTTCTGCTTGGATTCAAGGGCAATGTTTTACATTTGCAACATCAGCATCCAGAAATTCTGAGCACAGAAAGCTCACTGGACAATGCTGGGAGTGGGCTGTTCAGTTTCCAAGAGGTTAAGAAACTACCGAGACAGCGACTCACAGGTATTTCAGGTTCTCCAGATCTTCAAAGGATCTTCTCACGATGTGTTTTATCAGGTTATTGTTCAGCAGCCTGTTCAGATCAAGACAGAAAAAACAGAGCTGGTGAATTCAGCATGAGAGAGACTCGCGGCATTTGTACTCCTGGATGGCCACTGAAAAATCCTCAATCCACAGGTTTCATAGAATTTAAATCTAAAGGGGTTATCAGCCTGAAGTCAGGATGCTCACAACAGTTAAGTCAATGAGAACATTTCTTGCCCAGAGGTGCATTCCAGTAAGGAACATTCAAAAACATTTCCTTACCTTTTGTCATGGTGGCTTTCACCCAAAAGTTACAATTTTGGCCAGGAAAAGAGTGAGGAGAAGGGAGATGGGCAGCCGAAAGCAGAGAGAAGGGACACATTAAATCATTGCTGCCAGTTTTGTACAATTACCGAAGGTTTTTGGGGATGCATGGTTGTGTTAATGTGTGAGCAGGGGCATGCAGAACCAGGTTTTAACTGCACAAAAGCAGTTCAAAACGCTACTTCATCGGTTTATAAGAGTTATTAAATGGTAAGGCATTGTTTTAATCTCTTTGTATACAAATATGTACACGGGAAAAATAAATAAATGATATAGATCTGAGTCCCACAGCTAGTCAGAAACAGCCTCTTTCAATCTGGAGAGCCTCGTGCCAGATTTTAATACAAAACCTATGGACAACATCGCGTTGGCAGGCAGCCTCTGACTTGTGTGTTTCGTTACCATGACTGTGCATGCAAATGCGAGCCTGTGCCAAGGAGCAGAGAGCAGCCCGTCCTTGTAAGAGCGATGCTGGGTGCAACAGCAATGACCACACAGCCGAACCCTACAGAAACCTCCTCTGCGACCGCTGCCAAGCCCAAGGCTGAGAAAACTAAATAAATCACTTACAAATAGCTCTTGAATGGATGAGGGTTCGCTATTCGCCGTGGCTGTTGAACCGCACTTATTGGGGTCTTTCCCTATGGTTTTGGATCCGACAAACCTCACGGTGGCCGCTGGTGGATTTCGTAGCCTGCTGGCTAGGATTAAGGATCTCGCTGGCTATGCTTATTTTTAAGTTCTTAAATGGAGATGTGGACAGAGAAGAGCTGTGACTGCATGTCAAAGATCTGTTTTTCTAGGAAAAACTGCTCTTCCCCCTGTAAGCAGCCAGACCCTACGGTATCAGGTCAAATTCAACACAAAACCAGGCCAGGCTGCCCATGGAGCTCATTTCACAAGTTCATTCTCTTTCCTTTTTTTCTGATAGCTCTGTTCCTCAGAAATGATCCATCACCTGACGGCACATGGGAAGACGGTTCAGTGGTTTCCCAGCAGAAAGCCCAATTTTCTGCCCCCCCTTTGATGAAGAAAATCGGGTAGACAGCACATCAGAGAGCCTCTGGCAAAGGTCCCTTCCTGGGAGCAACATCTGTGCAGGTAAAGGATAGAGAGAAAAGACAAAGAGGTGGGGGAAAATGGCAAAAACACGTGGGAAAAGAAGATGAAGATACAATCGAATGCCCCAGGGATGCAAGGATGAAAGATCTCAGAAACACAGATGCGTTACGGCAGCTTCACAAGGTACCTGAGCTGCGCCAGCCCTCCACCAGCTTGTCCTCAGGTGAGGAATTACATTAAAGGTGCAAAAAGCACAGATGGTACTTGAGTGAAGGGGAGAGAAAAAACAAAACAAAAAAAAAAAACCACATTTTTGGAAGCCAAAGCAGTAAAGATTTGAGGAAAAACCTCACTATCCTCTTTTGATTACCTATTCTGCCACCAAGGACTCAGGTGCCACTTCCAAGCTGCACGTAGCAGCAGCGTGGACAAGCAGCCCGAAGAGGTTAAGGCAGAAGGATGCTGGTAAGTTCCTGCACAGCTGCGAGCAATGGCTCAACACACACGACTGAGGCTAAAAAACCCGATTTCGCTCATAAGGATGCAAAAATGATGTCAAGCCCTTGGAACACGCTCTCATGCTTTGACAGCCAGATATGCTGAGTGGAAATCCAGCCCCTGAAAAGCAACCCCAAGGTTTGTTTGATGATCGAACACCCGAGGACTGCTCGAGAGCGGTGCAGGAGAGGACTTTTGTCTATTTACCCACAGGACAAAGACAACACAGGCACCAGCGGCGCACGCTTCCTTCCCTGCCCTCTATCAGCACACTTTCATCTTCAGCCAGGGGAGAAAGGAGGCGGCTTGTTCTCTGCTATCTGATCCTTGGCCCCACTTCTGAGGATGCTGGATAGGCTGATAAACAGGTGCCAGCTGGGACATCACTCCCCTGGATGCAGGCACTTGTCCCCTGCCATGTGGCTGGCATCGACTGCTCGACTCACAGAGGACACAAGAGGGCTACCAGCAAGCAGACCCTTGGGGCAGGGGCATGCTGATGGGCTGAGGAGCCCCCCCTGCACCACCATGGGCTGGGATCCTTGGCTGACCCTTTAACACAGACCCTTTAATGCAGAGAGTTTAGACCCGGACTGAAATCCAGGGAGATTTTAAATCGCAGCTTGTTGACTGGCTGAATTTTGGTGCTATTGAAAAACATTCATCGAGTCCATTTCGGTGTCTCTGCTGTTTAGGGCAGTTAAAAGGGGGCAGAATCAGCAATCCAAGCCAAACAAGAGAAACTCTGGAAGTTCAAAGAGCACTCACTGTGCAGGTCTCTCATCTCATGGCCTGATACTTAAATTGTTCATTGTCTGATTAAAGGTTAAAAAGCGTATGGAAGGAGCCATCTCTGTTTCCTGTCTCAGGATTCCCTATTGTAACAGACGGATATGTCCTGGAATACACTCAAAACTGAGATAATTTATGAAGTCCCTCATACTGTACATATTCCAAAGAGCTACTTTCAGGGAAATGCATAGTCAAGACAGCACATCTGGATCCTAGAAAGACTTCAGATGGCTTGTGGACAGCTGTCTGTTCCTTGACTCCTGTGCAGTTCACCCAAGCGAAGAAGTGTGCAAAATCCTGGCCACGATTTGCATGACCTGGATACGGATCCCAGCTGCAATCAATAGCAAAATGCCCAATTACCCGTTTAAGTTGCAGAGAATTGAAAGCTAAGTCCTACCGCTAACCGGATCTGCTGGGAATAAACGCTTTGGCAGACAGAAGCTGGAAAGATCATTATTGATGTATGTCTCAAGCACACCCCGTTGCAAAACGAGCTCGATTAAAAATATCAGCAGTATGTTTCCTGGAGCTTACCAACAGATAGCAAACCGGTGTGGCGCTCCCCTCCAGGACAGCTGGCGAATTTGGCTCAGAACGAACAGGCGGACTCAATTGTACAGGTTTTATTCCTGAAAATTCTTCTGGGAGGCTTGGGATACAACACCAGCCCCACACAGGCTGGCCCATGTCCTCTAAGAGAGCATTTCCCACCAAGTTTCATTTATTCTCTGACTGTCCCTCCCTCTTCCCTCCCCACCCTGCCTCCAGGTTGCCAAGCGCAGGCTTAAGTTGCATTCACCGAGTCGTTTTTCTACTCCGAAGAATGTATTAGATGATGTGACAGGCCGGCATTCATACCCAAAACATGTTCCCTTTCCTCCTTTCCTTTGACAAACGACATGCTGCAGTCGGCGTGACATAGCAGCTCCTTTTTTCCCCTCACGCCATTACCAGAAGTCATCACGTAGCGCATTTAAAGGGGGAGAAAAAGTTAGTTTAATGTTCAGCCGTGCGTTCTCCCTTGCTGACAGGATGATTTGGAATAGCCATTTCCCATATGTGAGAGAGAAACCTTTATTTCAGGATCCATCAGGCTCCGACATCCCCTCCTGCTCACAGGGCCGCGTTCTCTGAGGAGCCACCGGAGGATCCGATGCGGCCTGCACTGTCCCTGTCAGCCACCCTGAAAGCAGCACCTAAAGGAGAGCTGCAGAGCTCACCAGAAGTGCTTTTTGTTCCACATAATGCTTCCTAAATAGTTTTCAAAGCACTCACAGACACAGACAAGTGTGAAAACAGGTAACTTGAGGTGGAAAGAGAAGCACGGTGTGAGCGAGGACATGGACGGAACAAGGACACGGGCAGAAGCACAGACCATGATGTGGTCTCCTCTCAGTCCCTGTTCCCTTGGGTGCCCGTGACATGGACAGGAAGACAAAAAAACCTACTGGAGAAGTTAATAAGTACTGCTTTGGTCTCAGGACTCGAGGTTTCTATGAGCTGGAGGGACAAATGGCAGCAACTACTGGGCTGTGGTGGCACTGGTGTGAAACCAGCAATCGCCCAGTTGGGTCAATGCGGCAGGGTGCTGGCCTCCTGGGGAGCTCACAGGAGGGCCGTAACACAGCGGTGTTGTCATCCATCCCCACCCAGAGATGAGCTAAAGGAGCAAAGACCAGGAAGCAATGAGACACTGCCTCTCACCACGGGCTTGCAACGTGTTTGCTCTCTGCCAGGGCCCGGCACCTGCTGTGAGCTAATGCTGGGTTAAGCGATGAGGCCGGCGTCGGCCAACTCGAGCAAAACAGCTGCTGCAAAGCTGCTGGCACTCTGCGGATGGCATACAAGAGGTTTTTTTTTTCCTTCCTGCTCCCTGCTGCTCTAACATTTTTTACTACGGTGACATAGTAACGGCTTAAAAATACACAAAGGAGATTCTGGGACCAGCAGCTACATGGGAAGGGATAGGACTGGATGAGAAAACCTTACAGATTTCAGACTTTTTGCCCAAAAATATTGGTGCACGCGACGTTGTGGACAGCCAACAAGCAAGCTCTCAGTGCTTGCTTGTAATAAATGCTTATTACCTCTGGTGGTGCACCAGGAGCCCACAGGCAGGAGCATGTAATGACTGTTGCTCCTCCACAGACAAACAGAGCTCCTGTTTTTAATTTCTGTAGTGCTCTGTAATTTATCAAATGTCCTGCCTTTACTAAAAGGAAAGAAGAGAGAAGAGCCAGGGGAAAGTTTGAACTTTACCCAGGATGTTTAAAAGCTCCACGGGATGTTCAGGAAAGGCTCCTCTTCTCTCAGCCCACCTCTCTGCACCTCTCCCTCCAAATGCAGAGTACAAAGGCTTCCTTATCAGGGTGGTTTATAAACTGTCAAACTTGGATATTTTACAGCCATCCTGCCCAAAAGGAGATGCAAAACAGAAACTGCACCAGGCTCTGCTGCCCTTCCTCTGCCAGGCCAAAGGATTTCAGGAAAAGGCTCATTTAAAAGCTTTTACTTGGTTAAGGAACTTTATTTCTGTAAATCCCACGGCAGATAGAGGCAATCTCAGAGTTCCTGCATATGGAACCTGAGCTGCTCTGTCCTCTAAACCATGTGCTTCAAATACTCTGGCCAAACTTCCCCAGCACTTCTCTCTGGGATTTTTAAGGATTTATTCTCTTTATCACTTGAAAACCTATGCAAGTCCTGAGCCAAAAGGTTACTGTCTAGGAAACATCAGCAAATTCTTTGGCTCTTGTCGGTTCTGATATGGGAATTGGAGAAACCAAAGTTCCTGGAGAGAACCTTGCCCGAGGAACGTGAGGTCTGACTTCCATTCCGTTAACTCCCACCTGTGGGGAACCCGATAACTCCTGCGAGCGTGAGAATAACCGATTCTTCCAGCTTGCTGGCCAAAGCAGGAAATAAAACAAAGTAAATGAACTATCTAAATGGAAAGGTTTCATTTGTAAAAACAGTTGATTTTCAGAACTGAAATATAAAAATGCCATATTTTCTTAGGGCAGTGTTTTTTAGCCAACCCAGTATTCTGGCTCCGAGGACAGCTGTAGGATGCTGTTTAGGGAAAGCGTGAGAGCCTGTCCACCATCTGTGCAAAACACGTCCCTCTTACTGCCCTGGCATCCATAACGCTGAGATTAGGGATGGTAGGTGCATGTTCATGCCTATTTCCTTCAGTATCAGTTCATGGAATTCCCTGGAGGTCCCTACCCAGGGGCATGTGTAAGCAGTAACCGAAAAGATTGGACAAAGCCATGGAGCATACAGATATCATTCAGAGATGGGTCTTTCTTTCTCAGCTAGGCTGCATATCCCCATCCAGCAGAGTGGCGGGAGTTAGGGAGAAAGAAGCAGGAGTCTTGCACGTGCCAGGGACCTGTCTACATTTAAGCACTGTGAGGACTGCACCTGGCATCTCTTACAGAACTCTGCCCATTATGTGAAGCATTTCTCCTGTGCAAGCCTGCCAGGCTCCTTGGTTTCCCCAAGGTTCAGCTCAAACTAGCTGTTGTGCTGCTGGTTTGATCACTCAGTTCCCCTATGCACAGTGGAACAAACTTTAGCAAATGCTGATTTTCAAAATACAGCATTTAAACAGCTTTCTATGACAAATTACTCCTGCGTTGCTATTCTTTCTACAACTTCTTACAACTGACTGAACTTCTTATTGCATGGGTTTGCCTTCTTTCAGCACTGACATCTTTACTGGATCAGGGACTTCAGATCTTTCAAGGTCAGACAGAGAAAAAATAATCTGGACTTTCTCTTGCTTTTTGGGGCCACGAATGTCTGAACCCAGGAAATATGAATGCGCCTGTCATGCAGTGCAGACTCTCAGACTAGCTGGTTTGCCTCACAAAGAGCTTGAACCTAGAAATCCTATAGCTGTTAGCGCCATGTAACAGCTTGAATAATCAGATCTGAGCCTCACCAGGCCAATTACATCCAGCACAGTGCTGTGCTGACACAGCTTCTGTTTCTGATTTGGGGGCTGGTTTGTTTTCAACATCTTGGCTACACAGTGCAGATGTACTCATATCTATCTTCAAACCCTCAGCCTTAAGGCAGCAAGAAGCAGCAAAGGCTCCCATTATTTCCTCTGAGCAGAGCAAGAAATTCATTAGTAGAGTAGTGTAGCAGACTGACATGAGCACGCCTGCCCTGGTTGGGATGCAAGGCTCAAGGAACTGCCTTCTAATCCCATCCCTATCTGCAGTAGGGTAGGGGTAGGTATTTATTCTATGGCAAAACACAGTGACAGACTGGCATTTATATGGACTTGCTCACTTCAGGAAACATTTGAGGCAGCCATGGAAAGAAAGACACTTTTAATGCATCCCTCTGCCATCCAGGCCATTATGGGCTGCTCCAGCCATACCTGCTGAAACATCCTCAGGCAGTAAGAGCATGCACAAAAAATCTTTTTTTAAAGACAGGTTAACTACCAAAATGAAAGTTATTAAATTGCTCATTTAATTAAAAATTGTAAGACACGTGATCCAGGGTAGAACAGAATTTTAAAGCTTTAACTGGGTATGGGCAAATCGGCTGAAATAACTAAGACCAAGGCCATCCTTAAACTATGATAGCACTAATGTAATAAATAAATAACCTCACTGCAGGATCACTGAGTGGGACTTACAGAGTATTGAGGTTCTTCAGTCTCCTGAAGGCTCCGGGTCGTATCTCCTTGATATGGTTGAAACGTAAATCTCTGAAAGCAGAAAACACGATCAGTACACTCAAAATATAAATGAGGCAGTAGCAAACAGCAACAAAGGGAGAAGGAATTCTGGAAGAGTTTATTGTATCAGGTCTACAGGACTGGAGAAATGGAGACAATGATCAGGGATGGGGAGGGGGAAGAAGAGGAGGAGGAGTGGGGATAATGGCTAGGGGGCTACCATTGCCTGCAAAGTCTGCCAAAAGCCTGCACAGCCAACCCTACATTTACAAAATGTACAAAATTTATTTATATTTCATAGAAAACTAAAGGCTGAAAGGACTCGAGTGATCAATTCCATGAGCAGTGCACAAGGTCTGCTTCTTGGCACCCCAAGTTCACTTACAATTACTCTTGCACCTCATGCTGGTTTGTAGAGGAATGCACATAATCATGTTGACCCAATTTTTAGGTCCCCAGCAAAATTATCTTTGTCCTAAAATGGTTAAATCTGATCAAATAACCTCATATAATAAGCATTTCACATTCTGCTCCACAGTGCTCCAAGACTCAGAACAGCTTATCGCTGCCTGCATTTCAAATTTGTGCCAACTTCAATTAGAATTAGTGGAGTCCAGGGGATTCTGGCAATTTTCAAGGGCTGTCCATGTATCTACATTGATTTGGAACCCTAAAACATGTTGTTTTGATGGCTAATGAGATAATAAAATAAGAGCTAAGTGGTTTAACCTGGTTAACCAAGTAGAAACACTTCTATAGGGAATGCGCATCGATTTGGCACCTTGCATGGTCCAGCATATTATAACAAATTGCAGAAGACTGACAACTGGTTTTTGCTGTTAGTTTCTATCCAAAGCACAACAATTAATTATTTTTTTTCTCCAATACTACCTTTAGTGAACACACAGCTATTTTTGTTTAAGACAGCCTTTTAAGGGCACTTGCTTCGAGGGGAAAAACACATGAATGTGCCGAAATGCCTGTCATTCTGGTGGTAAACCAAGGAGAATTTGGAGTCACAGCTTAAAACAGGAATTCTACACACTGCTAAGTGTTCAACACTTATTTTTAGAATGAGCTTCGACAAGAGTTGTGGCCTATGTAAGACTATAACGAAGTGCATTCGCTGCAGATAGCTGTAAGCAAACAGAGTGAGCATCCAAGGGGGCTGAAAGATCTTGGAGCAAGTATTTGAGAGGAGGGTACCCAGTAAGTAGAGCTGATTTTAGTTTAAGATATAATGTTTCTTCAGCATAACAGTTTGCAAAGAAGGTTATTTTATGTTAAAAAGAACCCCACTAAGCTTTCTTACTTTTAGGCAGAAAATACACAGTATTTTTATTGAACTCAAGCTGAAATATTAAATCTCTGCCTTGTTACCCCATTAATCACTGAATGCAATAGAATGACAGTGGAAGTTGTCTCTCCTGTTATTTTTTTCCCATTTCTGTAGCTTTTCAGCTTTGAACAAAGACATGAGAAGACTAAATAAGAAAACTTTCTCCTCTTTCTTAGTGGTAAGTATCGCACGCTGAAGAGCTAGAGGGCAGGAAAGCACGCAGCTTCAGCATTTTGAAAAGTGTTTCAAACATTTCTTGCTCGCCTTGTTGGAAGGTGTTACAGATCCCTCTTCACTGATGATGTGAATTTGATGGCATCTGTACAGAGCTTTCGAGGCCACGGCTGACACCGTAAAGCCAAATACAATTAAGTATTGGCAAAGGCGATAGCACAATGCACTATTCTCCATGGTCTCATTAAAAGGAAATGAGGGAAAAAGTAGACCATGAGAAAAGGTGAAGAAATGCAAACTTGATCTATGCACTGTAACACGCAGACACCAACTCTGCCTCCCTGGGGGGCTGTGAGGACAGTGTAATTAGTGCTGGCAGCTGGCTACAGGTAATAGGGGAGGGAACAAACAAATGGAAGAAACACACAGGAGTCAAGGCTGAGGCTGCTGATGCTCGTGAAAGGCAGTGGGAAGTGGATGGTGAGGTGCAAAATACCACCTTGGGTCACAGACTGCTGGTGGAAAAAACATCCAACTATTTTAATGAACACAGACAACTACAATCCTTCACACCCCAGCATTCATGCATAAGAGCACAGCTTCCCCAGCTGAAACTAGAAGCAAAACCCAAAACCACGGGTGACCGAAAACACCTCTGAAAAGCCAGCAAAAATAAAACACAAGCTCCCCCACTCCCAGGATTGCTTTCACTTTGGATCACTTGCCGAAAACTACTCTATGGAAAGGTGCTGGAGAAGTCTGCAGCTCACTAAGCAAGTCTGACCTCCTAAAGAGTGGGATTTTTCACCTGTGAGAGCAAATAAAGCGAGCCTGGGCTGCAGAGCCTGGCAAGAGCAATCATGCATCACTAACAAAGGTCCCAGCACTGCAGCTTGGCAGCACCTTCACCATCAGCAATGCCCCTGCTGGCGAGAAGCACAGGGATGGAGATGCCTCCTGATATTCCCATTGCTGGGTGAGCAATGGGTCTGGTTTCACGCACTGCAAACTTGCAGGAACTTTTCCCCTCCACTACCCTTGAGGAGCAAATAGTAAAGCTTAGCATGTTATTTTAATGAAACGTCTTGATTTTTCACCCCTTTTCAATTCCACATAAGATCTTCAAATGAATCCCTGGACGCCAAGTTCTGAACTCATCTGGTTTGCACCCCTTTGGAAAGGTCACTCTGGTTTGCCTTTCATCACACAATGGCAACAGTTTGAGAGCAATCCATATCTTCATCCTTACCAATGCATTTAAAAAAAGAAAAAAAAAAAATCCAACTCTGGCTCATCCACAGCATCTTCCTCCAGACTTTTCTTTAGCCCTAAGCTTAGCTGGTGAAAGAACACCATGTAGGGCTGCACTGGGAAATTCCTGGCTTGCATGCAGTGATTGAGAGCGTTCCCGCTCCCTGCAGAGTTTGCCCCTTTTTACACAGAAAGGCTTGTTTCTCCCAATTCCCAGGGTACTCGCGTTGGAAACTCGACATTTCTCCTAACAAAGCAGCGTGCTTTTCACCGGGACCCACCACGCAGCTGCTCGGGTGCCAGCCTGTCCCAGCTGCTGTGGACGTGAGCAGCTGGGCTCCCTCCCTCCCGCCTGCTTCCTTCACCTTGGGATCTGCAAAACTGGGGGTTGGGGGGGATCCCTTGTGATTTGCCTCTCCCCCATGCTAGTGAAATCACTCACCTTTCCTGACTGTGGGAACTCCCAGCCCCATCCCCGAGGCTTACCAGGAATGAGAGAATTTGCAAAGGGACTGGGGACACAGGTATTTACACCCAAATCTTTCTGATCCTCCCAGCTGTTATCAGAGCAATCGTTCCTGAAATCACTGTGTTAAATAATTAACAATGATTAGCATATAAAGCAATCTACAGCTTTTACAAGAAGCTTCCATTTCTGTTTAACCTATTTCGGCTTTTAAAGAATGAGATATATATTACCACGTTACCTAACCAGATAATTAGCTACACCAGGTGTTTTACTGCAGTTCTGTGGAAATTACTGGGTTTGCTTCACTGAAGTATCTTCTGTGTTCAAAACACCGTGCACAGCAATGATGCTGCCAGTTTGGGGCCATTTAACCCAGAAGTGGTTGGGTAAGTGGCAGCCAACCAACCATTATCACCAAAGACACCGAGAGTAATGGTTGTTTTACAGAGGGAGATAAGACATTGAGGTTCCTTCCAGTTTTTCCTGGGGTGTGTAGGACATTCTACACATGATTTTTAAGTCAAGTTTCCCACTTCTAATAAGAGCCAGAGCACTTGTCAGGAAGATGCTCGTTTATCTAACTCATCCACAGAACATCGGAGTCAGCTCTGCAGGTTCCTCCACGCTGCCAAGCAGCTACAGTGCTGGCAGGAAGGAAAAACAGCCTTGCTGAGATGGGAATGAAGTCTTCCAGGCTCATTGTCATCAGCTCCCCGGCTCAGGAATGTCCCTCTTGCACACAAGTCCCCAAATGGCTTTAATAAATGACAGCTTTCATCTGTGAATCCCTACAAGGACAGCTGAGCGTTGTCATCTCCGCTAGGGAGAGGAGACCACAGGGGGGCTCAGGGCTGGGGGGGCTCCAAGTTTCTGCTATTTTGGGGTGTAACTGTTTAAGACATCAAGATTTGACTCTTCGAGGAATGAAGAGGAAGGAAAAATACATTCAGCATGGAAATACTGATAAAGAAGTCAGTAAGATCACGGATGAAACAGGGAAGAGCAAGCATACGCAGAGAGCCTCATGCTGCAGAACAAGCTGCTGTTTCCTTTTGTACACTTACGGATGGAAAGTAGAGGGATGGGCACGCCAGGTTTTAATTAAGAAATCACCACAGGCATTCCTGAAGAAAAACGTTTTAAAATTTCAGCACCCACAAACAGGTCAGGATTTTTAAAAGGGCTCCCTCTTCGTCAGCTGGAGCACAAACTCGACAGTAATTCAGCTTGGTGTGTTGACTGCTGCTGTGTTGATCCCCCTTTTTCCGTGCACACAAGCCAGCACGAACTCACAGGCACTCGTTCATACAAAAATAAGTGGTTAGAGGCAGTTCTGGGTGGTTTGGGTCCACCACAGGCACTCCCCACAGCCCCCCTGGAAGCCCAGTTACCAAAGATGCGATTCTGGTCAGGGTCTGGAGGACGCTGGGCTGTACAATGTGCCTGGAAGAGTTGCACAAGGTGTCTGCTGCTGCTCCTTCCTCGCTGGAACCATTTTGCCATGTGCCACCAAGCATCCCATAGCTTTCAGCAGTAAAAGGCAGGTGCAACAAATACCTCCAAAACACACTTTTGGCCCTGAACACGTCTTAAAGTAGGAAGATTACACAGCAAACTGTTGACCTCATCAATCTTAGATAATTTGAGCCATTATCTATTAGCAGCTGGTATGGAGATTAGGGTCTGATCCTAATCAAATGAGCTAAATCTATTCTTGGATATTCATGTCAGCAAGGAGGAGTCTCTTAGCCTAATCAAGATATTGCCCACATCGAATACAGACAACATTCCCTCCTCCTGAACTGTATCCTGACCCTGATCCAGAAGTGGTAAAAGAAAGTTTCAGAGTGCAAAGATATATTTATTTTTTTCAGGAAAACCCAAAAAGCAGTAGCACCATGTCAGCTTAAATGAACTGCTAATGGCATTTTTAAATACCAAGTCCCTTGCAGCAAAGATGTTGGCTTTTTTCTTTCTTAAGAGCATGACTGTTTCAGTCTTTAACCAGAATATAAATGCATTCTTGCACCAAAATATACTGATTTCTCCAACCTACTGCTGTAGCCCACTCTGAGAAAGTGGCCTTAAAGAGCACAGTGATGGTCCTGGTACAAGTATGGGGAGAGGGATGTGGTGAGAGCAGAGCAGTCAGGGAAAGTGCAGATATTCAAGTGAGAACCAGATGATGGGGCACTACAGGTCAGTGAAGCCAGGATTTCTAAACACTTGAGGTAACCACAAACCCAAGAGTTTGGGTGATTTCACTAAAAGATACTGGAATGCCTCTAGGAAGGAAAGAAAAAACACAAAACCTTTAAATACCTCCCCTCCCCATCTTCCTTCTGACGAAGTGACTTATAAATAGAACATAAAGAAGATTTCGGTCACCTCCGAAATGTTTAATGATGATTAAATACTGCAGCAAAGAACAAGTCGGAAGGCGATCACACCTGGAAGATGCAGAATGTGTGGGTGTACATTCAATGACTGCACATAGGACTATCACAGGCAGAGGAAATGACTAATCCATTCTTCATCTGAAAGACCGAGAGTGCATGACAGAGACCACAATGGGAGCAGCATTTCCAAGAACTCATTTGCTCAGGAAGCCTTCCCCCTGCAAATGCAGATGCTTTTCCTGCAAATAGGCTTCTTAAGACACACGGAGAATGCTGCAGCCTGTCCCAGCACAGCCTTCATTCCTGCTGCGGAGCATCCTACTGCAGGAAGAGGGGAACCGAGCAGGCAGCCACCCCGCAGCACCCTGCACAGCCACGATGGGGAACAAAGCTCGTCAAAGCGTGCCCACGCTGCCCAATTAGCAGCCAGGTCCGTGAACAACTGGGTCACCTCCCGTTCATGCCAGCAGCGTGTTCACATCCCAGCTACCGCGCCGTCTTTTGCTGGTGCCCTCAGCTACGTTTCCCTCGAAGTCCCCATTCATTACGTGCTATGCATAATGCAGAAAGGAGACCAGCCCACGGATAATTGGATTGCCATCCATTAGCTGCCAGCCAGAGGGGAACTTCTTGCCATGGATTTCTTCCCCTCGTGCCCACACGTTTCAAAGTTTATTGTTTCAAATGTCACTCTGTAGAACAAATGACTTTGAAGGTTAAAGACCTATTGAAATTTTCGGAGTGTATGTTTCGCAGCTGTTCCCTTCTTTGGGCTGCTGGCTAAAGAAACTGCTCGAATCCCAGCGGTAACCAGCAGATCACATCTGGATAATCGCGTTCCAGTCAAACAGACGGCAGCCAAAATACGTTTGCAGTTAAACACCACAAATTTTTATAGCTTACTTATCTGTACACACGTAGCCATGCCTGCCATCCTCTTCTCTGCTCGGGACAAAACGAGCAGACTTTGTTACCAAAGACAAATAGGCTATTGCTAAAACCAGACGCTGGGCCAGATCCTCGGCTGCACCCAGCTGGGACTGGGAAGGGAGGAGGGAAACGGCGACCAAAGAGGAGCCAGTAACAGCTCATCAATCCCGGAGCTGGTTCCATGCCAGTCCCAGCATCACTCAGAGACGGCCATGGGCTGCTCCAAGTTACGCCAGCTGGCTACCGCCCCGAGGGGGCCATCTGCCAGCAGGGCTTGTTGAAGCACAGCGTGTGCCGGCTAGAAGACTTCCCTGCTCTTCAAGGATTGTTCGAGAGAGGGTGGCACGGAGTCACGGAAGTCAGAAAGTCCCAAACTCCCGACTTCAAAGCAAAGCCCATCTGGAAGCTGCAGCTGTTCGGCGAGGGAACAGAGCTGGAGCCTCGCATCGGTGTTTGAATCTGCAGGCACAGGCTTGGTCCTGTTCATACCAAAGGGCAAATGTGGAAAATATCACAATCCCACATTTTCTACTCAGAGTAACTCCACGATCAGATATTCTTGCTATAATTCTGAGTGCTCGCGTTGAGCAGTAACAGTTCTCCCAAGAGAAAGATTAACATACCTAAAAGCTGGAGTAGTCAGGGCCTGGGTTAAGAAGCATTTTGATCTTTCAGATTTTTTTTAAAAGTTTAATTATTCAAATGGTATTTATAACAGATACAATGGGATGCTGGATGCCAAATGCATTTACATACATTAAATCCTCAAGATTGCCAGAAAGTCAGTATCTCGACTTGCTGCACACCATACAAAGGCATGTGATATGCCAACTAGAGAACTTACCAGACTCTTATTATTCTGTATCTATGGGAATCACTACTTAGCAGTATGGCTTTTACTTATAATTATGCAGGCACTATTAGAAGAGAATATACCAAACAAAACTCCCTCAAAAATATCAGTCTATAAAGACAGTCATCTCGAAACACGACTGCTTTCATATCTCACACCTATACCATGTAGCTAATGCTTAAAACCCCAGTTTCCCATTCAAGAAAGACTTGTAAGGGGAGAAAAAAGGCTGGTGACAAGTTGGAGAGGGAAACTGCAAGTTCCTGAAGAGCAGATAGCTACAACCCAGCTAATGTGCAACAAACCATGGAGTAGGAAGCATCACCCTGCACAATAACTACAGCATCACCAGCCTCGACAGAAAGCAAGTCCAGATTTGGGTCTGCCCCAAGTCGGGGTGAATCCCACATAGCCCAGCTGCAATCAGTTTCTGCACCAGCACAGCTCTGGCAGATGGAGCTAGAGTAGGCATTTCCTTTGTGCCAGTCCTGCTAGGACCTCTGTGCTTTTTTTTCCATCCACCCAAGCAGATCTAGATGGCAGCAATTAAAATGCCAGCATCCTGCCTGCATTATGCTCCTTAGGCTGCCAGCAGATAAATCGCATTAGTAATATTAGAGAAATGCTTACAGGAGACACGCTCGTATGGATGTTCTGGCTGAGACCAAATTTGGATTGTTATGGGCAGAGAGAACGGCTTCTCAACCCACCAGAGTTGGAAAAGTTTGACAATCAGCAGTGATTTAACGGTTTTGAGATGAATTTTTGACAAGTCTTTCCTGCTATTTACAAAAAAAGGTCTTCCAAACCAAGGGAGCAGCTAAGAGAAACATTTTGTCACATTAACACCCTTAAGTATATGATATACCACAGAATGAGAGGAAGGTGCTCTTCTGGACCTGTCAGTAAGAGCTGTTTAGAAGTCTGGAAGTGCTTTGTGCCCTTTTCCTACACCTTTTCCATTTGAATGGACACACCAGCAGCTCCCCCCCCCCAGAAGGCACATCCAACCCAACAGGTAGAGTTTTACTTCTCAAGGAGCCTGTGAGATGCCCCGATTGCTGCTTTCCTAATAAGCCTTGCATGTGGTTTGTATAGTTCAGATAGAATCTGGAAAGCCAAAACTTAAAGCCTAGGAAAGAAATAGGGCGGTATTTATGAAAAATTAGGTGTTTTGTTCTGTAGAGATAAGAGCCCGAACTGCTGTGTTTCCTCTCTCTCTCCTACACCCATACACAAAGCCTTCTCAAACATAAACTGTGTACCTTTCTATAAGCACAGCTTAATATTTGTGACCTTTGATTCCCCAAAACCATCTTCCAGGGATTTCATGCCATTCTTCTTCTGCATTTTTCAACTCCCTTGATTGTCCTGTTAACGATTAACTGATGCCAAAAGAAGCAGTTTCTCTTCTATGCTCTAAAAGCCTTGAAACAGTTTGCAGCACAGACAACTGCACCAAAAAGGAGAAAAAGCATGCCTTTAACCAGCAAGCTTTTTCTTTCTTCTTCCTAGAGACCAAGCAGGTAAGAAAGGCAGTAAAACAAAACGGCTACTCACAGAATGTTTGTCTGGGGTGGGATGTCGGGGATGGTTTCCAGCATCAGATGCATGCATCTCACCGTAGTCCTGAAGCACAGGCAGCGACTGGGGCAGGAACAGGAGAAACTAAGCAAGAGGAGAAAACACAAAAAGCCTAGGAGAGCTGAAGGTTTGATCAGCATGGTGTTTGCCCGAGTGGATTTTCCTCAATTCTGAACTGCAGGGAGCTGACAAAAAAAAGTTTCCCAGCCCTGAGGTCCAGGAGGAGGGGACTCATCAGCATGTGTTTGCAATTAAATTAAGGCAGTTTGACAGTCCAACCGCCCACCCTCCCTGCCATTATGTACATCATTGAAGATCAGACTGTTCCCACCCCTCTTTAATTGTGGTGTTGAAACCTTAAGTCTTAATTTTGATTTATTTTTGCCTTGTTTCTTGTTTTTTTTTTAACAGCAGGCTAACTCCTTAGCCATTTATCTAAAAACATACAGAATGCACCTTTGTGGACAATGACAAAAAACTGCCAGGACTTGGATAGCCAGGGATCATGCTTTTAGGGCAAAATTTTTGCCTTAGCACACACTTCAGACTGAGGATGGCATCTTATCTAATAGCCTCTGTCAAATGCAGCAGACGAGACGACTTTTAGGATAGTTATTGCACGTACATATAACATCTGGTAAAATACGTCTCCCACAATTTGTGGGACCTTGGAGCGCTCCAGATAAGGGATTTTAAAAGGGAGACCACTAACAAAGATAAATAACCTGCAAATAAAGAGAAAAAAAAACCTGGCTGTACGCTTTCTGTCATGTTATACGGAGTAAAGTCTGATTAATTTCAAAGACTTTTTAGCTAATGTAGTTTCATACTACAAAGATGTAATTTAGAAAAACGTTAGGGCTTTGGAAAAACCAAGGGCAATTGAGGGGCGAAGAGGGAAAGAAACAATGAAAACAACCACGTTTGAACTGCAGTAACTCCTGCAGGAAATACAGGCTTCTGTTTATCCCGTTGAAGGATAAGAAAATTGGGGTGCAAAATGGAAGACCTGTTCCTAGTTTAATTAATCATTTCTACCATTATAAAGAAGCTTAAGAGTGCCAATGGCTTGTCTTTAAGCTTTCGGTTATAACTATACAAGTTCCTAAATGTGTGGTTTTAACAGAAATGTGGAACATTAAGGCTCGTTAGGATATAAAGCTACCTCAGGAAGTCCAAACCTGGCATCATTTCATATTACCTGCAGGACCAACCCAAAGTTTTCTATGAACCTGCAAGTCTGCTTTATGGTGTGAGCTGCAAAACAATTAACATGACAAAACGGTACTTAACCAGAGCGACATCACCTCCCCGGTCTCTTTTCCCCTCAGATATTTTGTCACTTGAGTATCTGTGGTCCAAGCGTTGTTTTCTGTAGTTTCTTTTCAGGGGGTTATTTTTGCCAGTCTCCCTCTCTCAATGACCCTGTAAATCAAGGCTTAGAAAGCATCTTCCAGGATACAGTAATAAGATTATTGGTCTCCTCCTCACCCAGAGAACTTGTAGGTATTTAGTTTCTGCTGACACATTGGACAAATTGCCATTATACAATAGCTGATGCATCATCCTCGAGCACTTAGAAATTTAAGCAGGAGTCATTTAATACACAGTAAAAGCTATTTTCTTCTAGCCAGCAAAGGACATTACGCAGGTTTCTTGCCTCTGATGCTCAAGCAATCTGCTGGTTGCTTGCACCACTTCGAAAACCAGGGAAATTGTTGAATTCCCCCAATTCCCCCGAGAAGCAACTCATGCTTTTGAGCACAGTGTCCTCTAGTGGCCACCCAGCCCTTTCTTACCAAGGCAGGTCGTGAAAGCAGCAGCATCTGCTGCAGCCTTTAAATAACACCCTGAGTGCTCCAGGTAAGTGACAGCTTTTAATTCCTGATTTGAGAGGTTAAGTGCAGCTCCCTCCTGAATTAAAAAAAGATGACGCAGGTTATGTCACCAGAATCTGCGAGAATTAAGTCGTTTTGTCTTCCACTCTGGTCCCCAGACCATCTGTTTGTGAAACATGAACTCCATCAGGACAGGATAACTACTTAGGAGCTGCTCTGGAAGTATTTCTAGGAAAATAAGCAAAACCACTCTCTTCTAACCATGTCTTAGCATTTATGAAATTCACCATCTTCTGTCGCACACGTGGATGCTCCACTAATACAAGACTTTTTGTATCCAGTTATGTCTGACTGCATAAACTACAAGCTCTAAACCAACCATCTGCAAAAAAAAAAAAAAAAAAATTAATTCCCTTCCAGGTTTATTTATATTGCTAAGAGGAGAATTGGGTTATGCATCAGTCATGTTTCTATACGCACTTGTCTTTGCTATGTTAGTTGAGGGCCTGGTGGTATAGTTGACTGTAGCTTCTGGAAGGATTGAAGATATTTACTTATTTTGTGGGATATGGATAATTAGCAGTCAAGATTTAATAAGAGCCATACAACAGGGAATAATTTGAGTGCATAAAGGCAAGTTCTGCAACCTGAATCTACTTAGGAGCAGTCTTCACTTGAAGCATTCCTCTTCTACCTTACCTTCCCTTCATAACAAATGGGATGTTGGTGAGATGTTACAAAACACTAGCAATCATAGTTCCCTTACATGTGCATCAATTCATTTTATTTTCCAACAACATGACAAATCGTTTAAAAAAAAAGTTTGCAGGTCTGAACAAGAGCCAAGAATTAACTCTCAAGTGACAGGAACAAAAGTTAATGCTTGTGTCCCATGGTTCAGCATTTGCAACCTGTGCTAGAAAGGCTTTTGCCACACTGGAAGAACAGAATTTTTGCTTGTTTGATCGTTTTTGCTTGCGTGGGTGCTGCTTTTTCTCTTTTAAGCACCCTTCTTTGTTTTTAACTTTGTTTTCTGTCCCAGTAAGAAGATTTCACAGGAGTACTCCTCCCAGAGTTCCTCACTACTTCCCTGGGAACTGCAATATGCATTTCACTAGGAAGTGAACATAAACATTACCTGTCTTGACAAAGTTAATCTACTTGATGTGACACATCCACGGCTTTCCAAAGCAGGAAAGGATTTTTTTCTTCCAGCACTGTCATGTGAAGGAATGCATTAACACTGTACTAGGCTTGTTTTATGGCTTGTAGAAGGACATCTATCATACAGACAGACAACAGGAAGAAACAGTCTACAAAGAACTATCACATGGAATAAAGGTGAGCAGACATTTAATTGGCAACAGCTGGATTTGCTATTATGAACAGCTTCCTATTACAGCTGAAGCATTGTTCTCAATATTATCAGAAGGAAGCTTTCAAACTAGCTCCTAAAATCTGCATTAATTAAACAGAAACAGCACAGGAGACGAAAAGGGAATTGCAGAAGTGGCAGTAGCTCAGAATGCATTAAAGAAGGTACCATCGTGCTTCCTTTAGGTGATCTTGTCTCAAAGCAGAGGAACAGACTTGATGACCTCTTGATGTCTCTGTTGTCTACAAGCCTATCAGCCGGGTAAGCGAGCTCTCTTTAAGTGTTCTATTAAAATCAAGTTCAGTGCTGCGTACACTAACTCCAAAACACATCTTGCACAACTCCATTACATAAGGATTTGGAAATCATCAGATGGGCAGGTTTCTTTTGATTATATTCTGAGGAGTTCATCTAGAACTATGCACCTGCACCATATCATTAAGGGCTTTTTCTACTGTTCTAGTGTCTTAACCTTCAATTATGGAAATCAGCACTTATCTACAAAGTATTCTAATCACAACACGATGCAAAGCCATGTTAAGAAGGCTAAAAAGTCTTTACTGAATTTATTGATACAGAAACACTTATTAATGAAAGTTTTTAAGTTGTGTAACACTTTCGCATGCCTCAGGCCAATTTAACTCGTTTCTATACACAGATTTTTCAGCTTACACACTAATTATTAAAGCAGTTTGAAGTTCATTTCTCTTTGCACGTTTACTGAACTATCAAACCTAAAAGGAGTCAGATACAATTGAAGTGAAAACTACTTAAAACAAAAAGAAACAGTCAAAGCAGATAAAATTCCTAGAGAGCTTACAGGCTATACAAAAACAGTTATGCTACAATTACTCTGCTAAAAATGCATACAAAACTACAGTGCAAATGCTTGTGCACAGGGAAAAATGCATTTATGGTTCCCCTTCATTTATACACTATAAGCAATACTACTTCACAATTTTATTACACAGAAAAAATTCTACTATGGGTTTGTTTGGATCTGTGGGTTGTGGGGTTTTTGTTTTTTTTTTGGACAAGGGGACAACCTGACAAGCTAGAACACACATTTCCTGTATATATATTTACTTATCCGTATCCAGGAAAAATAGCAGTATTTTATGCATTTTATAGAAGACTACAAAAATCTAGCAAATGTAATAAAAAGGCAAATCTGGTGAAAAATCTGAAAAATACATTTTAAAATTAGGGGATGGGGTGTGGTAAAAAAAAATCAAAGAGGGCTAAACAAAAGATTCTCCCTCAAACTGTCAGCTTTAACACAATTTCAGCAAGGTTTACTACCATGACCAGTACTTTACACATCTCTTTTTAAAGTGACTTCTTTACGACCTCCATGAGAAGTTCTGCAATTGATAAACCAAAGGATAACCTGCTAGCCAGAAGTAAGAAGCCCCCTGTACTTACGATGTGGAGATGTGTACCACAATACAGAAAGGTGCCTACCTGGTAGGATAGCTATTAAACAGAAATGCCTAACACCTGCAGAGATGATAGCCTTTGGGGAAGCACAAAGGAACTCTATATAGATTCTGTTACACCTCCATTTATCACCATATTCAGGATTTTCATCTGTAGAAAAAAAATTCCTTGTGGTTGCCAGATTTACAAGATGGGTACTTACAAGCGTCCAGAAAACCATCAGCTCAGTGGCCACGTAACTGCCCCATTCCAAATGCACAAACAAAAACCTGAGGGAGCAGGATAGCTTGGGGTACCATTTATTACAGAGGTGAAGACTTAGGAAACTAGAGGCAAAATACAGCCTACAACTCTTTCATATCACGTGGCCACCAGCCACATGACTCTGATCAGTTAATATTCTCGAAGACAAAAAAAAAAAAGCCTATTAAGCAAGGAAGAGTTCTCCAGCTTGGGCTTAGATGTATAAGAGTTATCTGTACATTTTCAAAGCTGCATAGAACTTTGAAACACTATCAAACAAGTTGTGCAACTCAGTACCATTAACTGAACACCCAGCATATTTTTGGCAAGACAGTCTTCATTCATTCCTCCTCAGAAACTGAGGAGAC